CCCCCCCCCCAAAAAAAAAGAAGTTTTGAAAAAATAAAATGTTTCTAGTATGATAAAAAGATTTTAGAGTAATACTCTTGAGGAAATGATGTATGTTTTGTTCACATTGTTTTATAATATACTGTGATACTTCCTGAAGTGTGTTTGATGTTGATCAAAAGAACACTTCTGTAAATCCCACATTTTTCTGCATGATAATATAAAAGAACAAAGCGACTCAATACAAGTAAGATAGTTAAAAACTCTAAGGGTTTTTTTTTTTCTTCTCCAGTTCTCACATGTAAAAATCAGTTACCTATACATGAGGTTAATATGTTATATGGTTTTTCCCATTGAGCAAATGCCATTCTGACTGTATCCTGAGGGTCTTTTTGGTTGTTGTTTTTTAAAATGATTATTGAAAATCAAAACTGGATAAATTTTCTTTTTTAAATAATTTCAATAATTTTAAAAATTTGAACTTAAACATAGGTTATTTGGGGTGAAATAAAGAGTTGCACTGTTTACAAACACTATTATATAATAGTAGGTATTAGAAAGCCTTGTCTGTAAACCATGTTTTATATACATACATACATACATATATATATATATATATATATATATTGCATATTAGTGTGAAGCCTACAGATATAGAGATGAGGAGGGTGATTAGAAGTGGATATAGATAACGTATCAGAATGTTGGTTGCCTACACAACACAAAACTGGATAAATTTTCTTTTTTTTTTTTTTTTGGGTCCGGTCGTGGAGCCTGAACTCTGGGCCTGGGCGCTGTCCCTCAGCTCTTCAGCTCAAGGCTAGTGCTCTACCACTTGAGCCACAGTGCCACTTCCGGCTTTTTTTCTTTTTGCTTATGTGGTGCTGGGGAATCGAACCCAGGGCCTCGAGCATGCGCTGTACCACTGAGCCACCTTCCCAGCCCCTGGATAAATTTTCTTAAGACCTTAAAGTTTTTTGTCTAGAAACATCGTGGTCTTAAAAGAGAAAAACTTAACTGGATGGTATAGTCATGTTCAGATATCATAAAACTAATAAGATACTAATAAAACTAATAAGATAAATTTCTTTTATTACAGGGGAAAAAAGTTGTTCCATGTAGGCATGACTGGCATCAGACTGGAGGTGAAGTCACAATTTCAGTCTATGCCAAAAATTCTCTTCCAGAACTTAGTCGAGTAGAAGCAAATAGTACATTGGTAAGTACACAACTAATAGTAATAATTGTTAAACATGCTTTTTGTATTAATGTCTTATAAAATATCCTTATTTTTCATGGAAAACATAATTTTAAATTACTCTTAGAATTTCAGATGAAAATTCCCATGTTACAATTTTCTTTCAACACAGTTTGCTAGGTAATTCAGTAGCTTAAAGAGTTAGCAAGTAATAAGATATTTAGTTCTCAGTGTGAAACTTCAGGTCAGTTTTGCTTTTCTGTTATTTATTTATTTATTTTGTCGGTCGTGGGGCTTGAACACTGGGCCTGGGCGCTGTCCCTGTGCTCTTCAGCTGAAGGCTAGCTCTCTACCGTTTGAGCCACAGTGCCACTTCCTGTTAATGTTTTTTTAATGAAGAAAAACTTATAATATTGACAGTTTCACAAAAATGTGTTTTTTTCATAACCAGTGTTTGTTTTCATAAACCCTCTACCTGTTTATTGGTTAAGCAATTAACTTTCTGTTGAGTTGTGGCTCAATACGTAGATTGTGTACAGTCTGTGTACTTTCCTGGGTTCCATCCTCAGCACCAAAATAAAACTCATGCTCACTTTTTCTGTGTCTTTTAGTTAAATGTACACATTGTGTTTGAAGGAGAGAAGGAATTTCATCAAAACGTGAAATTATGGGGTGTAAGTATTACGAATCAATATTTTTCTGAAAATTTAAAAAACCATTTTTAAAAAGGTATAGTATACCACTTAACAAGAAATTCAAGTATGTAAGTTATATTATCAAGAAGTTTAACCTGGAATAAAAATGGGTTTAGAGCATAGGTTTGGAATTTTTAGCGAAGTAAGAATGTTTTCCACTGAGTCTATGAAAGCATTTAACCTTTCTCTCACTCCTTGATACATTATAGGTGATTGATGTGAAGCGAAGTTATGTAACTATGACTGCAACTAAGATTGAGATCACCATGAGAAAAGCTGAGCCCATGCAATGGGCAAGTCTTGAACTACCTACCACCAAAAAGCAGGAAAAACAAAAAGAGATCGCTGATTGAATGGGAAGAAAAAAAAGCTGTGGCAGTTTCATAATACTGAGTAGTATGTGATGAAGGGATGGCTTCTTTTTGTTGTTTTTAAATCTGGCATTTCAGGGTCAACGTGTGAGGTTCTCAAAGCCAAAGTCATTTTCTCTTTCTGTGCCTCTCATCTTCCTTTTAAGTTCTATAATGTTGATTATTTATTTCTCCTCACTGGTTTTGACCCCCATCCTTGAAGAAGATGGAGAATTGCTCAATAACATCATTGCAGTATTTCTTAGTATTTCTGTTATGTTAAATAGTGAAATAAAAGGCACCTTTGTCTTTTCCATGTCTCTGTTATCCCATAATTAGGAATTGAGATGAACTGTTTAAATTTCTATCAGATTTTTCATGGATCTTTGTTCCTATAATGCTTGAAAACCTTAAAGAAAAGCAGCTGCTCTGTGTTGTTTCCCTAGGGTAGTTAATTCTTTTTAGGACTGATGATAGTAAATAGGAAGCTAAAGGAGAATATATTGCTACCAAATGAGCATTTGTTTACAATCAATTTAGTTTAAAAACTATTACTTGCCAAACTGTATGATTTACAAGGATAGAAATGTAGATAAAGTTATAGAAGTAACAATTTGTTCAAAATTCACCATTTATAAAACTAAGCAATAATGTTTTTTAAAAAAAAGCGTGTTTTTTTTTTTGTTTGTTTTTTTGGTGCCGGTGATTGATCTTGGTTAGCACCTTGCTCTTTCTAGTCAAGTGCTCTTCCACTGAGCTAAATCCTCAACCCCTATTTAGATATCTTTATATGGTGTTGTGACTAAATTGTACCTTATCTATAGTTGCAGATATAAAGAAATTTTATATATTTGGTTTCCCTGCTAGGAAAATTTGCAATCATAAAAGTCATAATCTTAAGGGTTTGTGGAAATATGTTAAGGTATAGCAAAACTAAATATATAACCTTTGGTTTATCCCAACGGTCTATTTCATATTAACTAACTTAAAGAGCATAATTCTTTTGGAGTTTTTCTTAAGGCTTTTATGAAGACCTTGACAATTTTTTAATACAGTGCTCATTTATATGTTGTACTTTATTTGTATTAAATATAGATGGAGCAGAATTTTAATTATTTGATCCAGTTAGATTCATTTGTACATAGGTTACATTTTGAGCTGGTGCTGAACTCAAGAAGGAAATTTAAATTTGGAAATGTTATAAAGGTCAGAAGTCTGGCAGCTTGATAAATTTGGGGACTATGGGACTAACAGGAAAAGTAAAAAAGGGAGGGGCTATTTTTCAAATCACTAGGAGGTTTTCTTGGTATTAATGAAAGGATAAAGAAAAATTAAAGTGGAAGTAATGTTTTAGTAGTTTGTATCTGTTCTAGTAGGAGATAACTTTACTAGTATTCTATTGCTAGTATTCTTTACTAGTATTCTATTCTCTAAATATAATTTAGAGATCCAGTTCTGTCACAGGTTTTAAAACAAAAGGTCTGGTAACTGGGTTTTCATGATAATATGAAAAGAAATTTTTAGCAGTAAAGATTGTATCCAACTTTAGTTCTTATAGAGATGTATTTAAAGTTTTTACAATTGCCTTTTACATTTAGAAACATGGGTTCGTTTAGAGGCATGAAGTTTTTATTTTATTTGGAATAATAGTTATAACTTACAAATGCCTACTTTTTGAGAATTTTTTTCTCTGGACAATAGCCTACTCTGTTATGATTAAACTATTAAACAAGTAAAATATTCTAATTTTAGACTTAGTTTACAAGGCACTGTTTGTTTGTTTTTCTGCTACAGCTGTGTTGTTTAGACAGTAATGACCATTTGTTTCTTATTCCTGAGAATCTCTGAATGTGCTGCCCATATAATCCAAGCAAAATTTACCTAAACTCTAAAATTGCATTTCATTATATAGAATATGATTTAGCCCCTCAACACGTTCATAATTGTTAATAAAACTGCTTTAATTTTAATGAACATCTTTCTTAGTATACAAAGTAATTATAGTAAAGCTGTGTAATCTCAAAACAAAAAAATAAAATTGCTATTTTTTTTTACCACATTTAGTATAGTATTAAGGAAATAATGTAAACATTGAATTTTCTTCCATAGTCTCTTATTTCAAGATAATTTTCGTTTTTAAAGAATTGTTAAAAAAAGTTCAAAAATTCATGTTAACTAATTTTGCACCTATATTAAAATCTCAACCACAGAATATTTACAAAAGTAAGAAATTAACTTTTTTGTTAAAAGTGGATTGTTGAGTTTTTCTTGTTTTTTTTTTTTTTTTTTTTTGAGACAGTGTCATAACCTAGGCTGGCCTCAAACTTTTAATCTCCTACTTCCCCCTCCCAAATTCTGGAATTACAGACATACATGACTATCAAGCCTAAATCGAACATTTAATTTTAAGCATCTATTTTTAGTGGCAGTCTTAAAAGGTATTTCTTGAAACCTATCCTACTTTTATTGTAATAATTTAAGCCAATTGTATCAACAGTTGAAAATAAGAATTTTGCTGAGCATTAGTGACTATAATCCTGGCTACTCAGGAGACTGAGATCTGAGTTTTGCAACTCAGAACAAGCCTGGGCATGAAAGTCTGTGAGACACTTATCTCCAATTAAGCGCTAAAAACGCTACAAGTGGAACTGTGTTTAAAGTGGTAGAGTGCTAGTCCCTGAGCAAAAAGCTCAGGGACAGTGCTGCCCAAGCCCTGAATTCAAGCCCTGGGATACCAGCACAAAAGAAAAAAAGCAACAAATTTTAATAGTTTAATAGTCGCTATCCCAACAAAGAACTAACTATACAATTAATATTTTTGCTACAAATTTGCTCTTTTTAACTGTAGAAACCCTTAGTTTTAGGCAAGTGACACTAAAATACCTGGTTTGCAAAAGTGTTTTCTGCATAATTGTTGCTTGGTACTAGGATTTATGAGTTCTTTAAGAATAGAGAGTTCCTTTAAGAATAGTTTTCTTCAAGAGGAAAAATGTTGATGACACCAGCAGCTTAAGAATATCATAGTGGCACTATTTATAACAAACACTTTGTAGGGTGTGCTGTGAGAACATGCTTTAATTTTTTGATTGGGACTGTATCTAACCAAAGTAGGACCATCTCCATATTGGTCTGTGCTACTCTGTTTCAGGGTCAACTTTTGTTGTTAAAAGAGTTTTTAAGGACTGGGAATGTGGCTTAGTGGTAGAGTGCTTGCCTAGCATGCATGAAGCCCTGGGTTCGATTCCTCAGTACCATATACGTAGAAAAAGCCTGTGGCTCAAGTGGTAGAGTGCTACCCTGAAGCAAAATAATCTCAGGGACTGTGCCCAGGCCCTGAGTTTAAGCCCCAGGACTAGCAAAAATGAAGTTAAAAAAAGTGTGTGTGTGTGTGTGTGTATGTGTATCCATATCCAAATGAGACTACTTTTTATTTTTGGTTGTGGTACTAAGATTAGAATTCTGGGCTTCACACTTTGCTAAGCAAATATTCTATCATGTCTCCATCCTCTTTTGCTTTAGATTATTTTTCAGATGGGATCTCAGGACTTCTTGCTGACTTGGCCACAGATTGTGATCCTCCTACCTTATCTCCTTGAACATGAGATTATAGATAAGTGTCATGCCTACGAGACAAAGTTTCATTAACTTTTTGCCTAGGCTGAACTCTAATCATGATCTTCCTGCCTCCTGAATAGCTGAGATTACAGGCATGATCCACATCGCTCAGTTATAGTGTTCACTTCTTAAGTAAATAACTCTTTGCAAAAGAAAAAAAAGTTTTCTTAAAACCATGTTTTTATTGACTGCTTATTAATGTTTTTTGTTAGCTAGTTTGGTAGGCCACCCTTAAGAACAAGTAAAATGAAACTTGCCAGCTTTAAACATTTGATGTTCTTGGAAGATTGTGTATTTTTTTTTTTTTTGTTTTTTCTGGGTCTGGTCGTGGGGCCTGAACTCTGGGCCTGGGCGCTGTCCCTCCACTCTTCAGCTCAAGGCTAGCACTCTACCACTGAGCCACAGCGCCACTTCCAGCTTTTTTCTCTTTGCTTAGGTGGTGTTGAGGAATCAAACCCAGGGCCTCAGGCATGCAAGGCAAGTTGCTCTACCACTGAGCCACCTTCCCAGCCCCGGAAGATTGTGTATTAAATACCTTAATTTGTCATTGTTTATCCACTAAACAGACAAATTGCTCACATAGATTTAAATATTTTTGTTATTTAAAGTAAGCTTAGAAAAAGGAAACCTTTCCAAGCTTAATTCCCTTAATATCTTAATGAAAGCATCTCATAAGGATATAATTGTTTTATTTTTGTATGCTTAGTTTGTTATTGTTTATATTCCTTTGCCAACTGCATGTAACCTTGACTGTTTTGGTCAGCTGTTCTCTTTTTCTAGCACAGTACTTGATGGATGTATTTATTGGTTGGCTGTTGGAAATGTTAGACATGCAGCAATATGGGCTAGGTTCAAGCCTAAAGAATTTAAATAACCAAGCATAATGCTTGTGGCCCCAGTGAGGCGGGTTCTCTTACATAACAAATGAAGAAACTATGGCACTTGCCCAGAGTCAAAAGAGGTTGAGTTAGAGAGTAAATACTCTGATTCAGGCAACTTGACTTACTCTGTACGCTTAACCACTATTCTATACTGCTTTTGCTTGTCAACTTAAAGAATAGACTTCACAACCCATTGGCATGTAACATAGTAGACTAACAACTGATAATCAGGAACAATTTTTTGTTAGCTGTATTTCATTAGAGAATAAATCTATTAAATTCCTGTCATTGTGTCTGGGTGGTTTTAAATAGCCTGCTAAAAACCCATATGATTTGACCAATTTTAGGGTATGCAATTTCTCTAAAGACCCTCCAGAGAACTCTAATAATCTTCAATGCAGAAAAAAAATGATGAAAATTTCCATGTCCATTTTGATAGTGATGTATATTTTGTAGAAAACAAATCATAACTCTGATAAAACCTCTACTGAAATAGCATCTCACTTGTCTGTTTTCTCTGTTAATGTGAGACCTACTTTAAATAAGTACATATTTTCAGATACTTGGAACCTTAAGTTCCTAGTGTTGAAATAACGATGAACAAGATTGTAAACCCAGGAATAAGCCATGGATCATTTGAATTTTTTCTAAGCGAGGACAGTGCCTTTCCAGCATATGGTTTCTATACCAGCTGGGTCATTGGCAATGGAAACCTGTTAGAATTGCTATTTGTGGATCCCAAAGTACTAAATAAGGACAGGGAAATGGGTTCTAACTATTTGTAATTTTGAAATGCTTTGGATATACAGTACATTTTTAATTTTTTTTTTTTTGGGTCCGGTTGTGGGCCTGTGCTCTGGACCTGGGCACTGACTGTCCCTCAGCTCTTCAGCTCAAGGCTAGTGCTCTACCACTTGAGCCACAGCGCTACTTCCGGCTTTTTTCTTTTTGCTTATGTGGTGCTGAGGAATCGAACCCAGGGCCTCAGGCATGCAAGGCAAGCACTCTACCATTGAGCCACCTTCCCAGCCCCTCCACTCTTATATATTGGTAATAGTTTGCATTTTAGAAAGGCCACTTTGATAGAAAGGGATATATGAAAGTGGCATAAAATTAGGTTATGGACATTGAATACAATAGATTTGTGAGATTTTCTCCATGAAATTAGTGCAACAAGGTTACTAAGATTTGAAACTTGGTTTACTGGATCTCAGGATTTGGAAATCAGACAGGCATGATGTAAATGTCATTTTAACCTTAAAAAAAGCAGAGTTCAGAACATTCTGAACTTTGTTGAGGGCATCTTATTTTTCTATCAGAAAGCAGACATAACTTGTGTATGGTGCAGGAGTTCACAAATTTGGAACTAAGTGGATCCAATAAAGGAACAGTTATACATACTGAGAATATGCCACTCAGGAACGGTCTTATCAGGGTAGGAAGAGGTTGGATGGACAAAAAGTACACAATTTAAACACAGACCCTAGATTCTTTTTATTTTTTAGACCCTAGATTATTGATGAGAATAACTTTGCAAAATACATTCTTAGGTAGAGGAAAACAGAGTTATCTGTTAGAATTCAAAGTTCAGTACTTATGTATGATTACAATTTCTTGTAAAAGCTTAAGGCTTGTTAATGAAAAGCCAACTCCAACAACAGTTTTAACCAGAATATCTACTTTAGAAGCCAACCGACCAAAAAAAAAAAAAAAGCCAACGAGCCAATTAGTATTGTCAGTTGTGTGGCTTGAACTGGGCACTGTCCCTGAGCTCTTTTCGCTCAAGGCTAGCTCTGCCACTATGATCCACAGCGCCTCTTCTGGTTTTCTGGTGGTTAACTGGAGATAACCTTTCCTGCCTGAGCTGGCTTCAAACTGCAATCCTCAGATCTCAGCCTCCTGGGTAGCTAGGATTACAAGTGTGAGCCATTGGTACCCAGGTAGAGCCATGTTTTTATTAGGATACAATTTAATAAGCCTCTTCAATATTGTAGCCATCCTTTGCTTATTTTGTTTACTATCAAAAAAAAAAGGTCACTTAGATGCTTAAGATAATTGGCCATGTTTACATGGCCTTTGCTTCCAAGAAAGGTCCAAAAACAGAAAAAAAGGAACCATTAAATAAAAAGTTGCTAAAGACAGGTCTGTAAAGAATAGTGTAATAGGGGCTGGGAAGGTGGCTCAGTGGTAGAGTGCTTGCCTTGCATGCATGAGGCCCTGGGTTCTATTCCTCAGCACCACATAAGAAAAAAGCCGGAAGTGGCGCTGTGGCTCAAGTGTTAGAGCGCTAGCCTTGAGCTGAAGAGCTGAGGGACAGCGCCCAGACCGAGTTCAGGCCCCATGACTGGACCAAAAAAAAAAAATAGTGTAATATATTTTGGTGAATATATTGTATAATATATTTATGGATGAGTTTTTAAGGCATTGTAGACACCAGTCTCTTAAGGGATTGGAAAGGAATTAGCCAGATAAAAAACAATGGAGGCATCCATGAAAAAAGACTAGGGTGTGAAACAGCCTGAGATGGCCTAGGCCAGGTTGAAAAACTGCTTTGCCCTTACTCTTTCTACCTAGCTCTTAAGTAAACATGTTATAGGATTAGGCTTCTGTTCTCTAGATTTGAATTATTTCATGGTAGAACATAGAGCTACCAAGGTAACCTGATTATCCCCAGTAACTTGCTTGAGTCTGTACCAGATTTGAACTTGAGCCCTTCACTTGAATTACTGAATGAATTCCCTCAGGAAAGAAATTTGTACTGTCAACTGTCTAGGAGGTACTATGAGAAGTACTATTGTCTAGATGTACTAAGACTTCTAAAAAGATGTTCTTAAGGTATTGGTTCAATCTTTTATCCTAGCTATTCAGAAAGATGAGATGAGAAAAATTGCAACTGAAGGTCAGGGTGAATAAAAGTTTATAAACCCCATCTCATCAAATAAAAACCTGGCTACAGTCATCCTAGCTATGTGAGAAGCATAAAATAGGATCTACTGCTCAAAAGATAAAATGGCTGAAGGTGTGGCCCAAGTAATAGAGCAAGTGTGAGGCATGAGTTCAAATTCCAATACCACCTCTAACAGCAAAGGTATTTTAAAAGCTTCAATGCCTCTAGTCCTTCAATAGCTCTTAAATGTCTTTAAAAATGTTTTGCATTTGATCTACTTTTTCCTATTGGTTGTAATAAAAGCAATTGACTGCTAGTTATTAGAAGCACAAGGTCTGGTATGGAAATCCTGTTGAAAGTTTTAAGTCAGGTGTCAGTGGCTCTCACCTGTAAGCTACTCAAGAAAGTTGTATATTCATGCAAAGAAAATATGGCTCATCTGAATTTAGAATAATATTGAGGATTGGAAGAAATGGTGTTTTGTTTCCTATCTGTACTTTATCACTTTTTAAACAGTAAGTCGTGGCCAATCACCATGTAAACAAGTGAAAGTGTATATGTAAATGTGTTTTATTAAAGTATTGTAACCTGGCTGTGAAGTTAACTCCCTGGGTTTGAGAACATGTTTTCACAAAACAGTGATTTTATATGTTTTTTAAAAATGCTTCATAAATTACATACCTTGGGCCTGAGAAGGTGCACTTGCCTTGCGTGCACGAGACCCTGGGTTCAATTCCTCAGCACCACATAAACAGAAAAAAATAGCCGGAAGTGGTGCTATGGCTCAAGTGGTAGTGTGCTAGCCTTGAGCTGAAGAGCTGAGGGACAGCGCCCAGGCCCAGAGTTCAGGCCCCACGACTGGACCCCCCCCCAAAAAAAAATAAATTACATACCTTATTTTTTAAAAAGCAGAATATTAGTTTATTCTTTTTAGCAGAAGAAACAAAAACAGAACAAATAAAACATAAATTTATCTTGATGGCTTAGTTATTGCCATACATGACACTTAGGGGGAGCCAATGAGATGCCATGTAGTCATATTGGGGTATATAAGACATGTGTGACCATCTTGTATTGCCTTACTTTATTAAGATGTATGGTTGGATAGTTTCTCCTTGCAACGAAATGAACTGTTATTTTAGTCAGGGTTCCAGCCTATAAATGCTTTTCCAGAGTTTTTACTCAACTCTGATAACGTGTTTGACCAACCAAGCTTCTAATGCATGCTTGCATGTGTGAGTATGTGCATGTTGTGGATTGAACCCAGCGAGCTTGTATATCAGGCAAGTGTTCTTATCATCCCTGATTCTCTTAATGAAGCTTTAATCATTTCTGAAAATTGTAGACACTAATATGCCTGCTTTATAGAAGTTAAATGTGGAGACTTTGGTAGTTACTTCCTCATATATCCAACTTTCATGTTTCTTTAGTAGAGATGAAATGATCAAAACTGGAGGTATTACTGACTTCTTTCTGATGTTTCCATCCCATAATGATTTTACAGATAACCTATTTCAGTTTCCTGAACAAATCTTTTGTGTGTATGTGTGTGTGTGGGTGTATAATTCAACTAACTAGACCACAATTTTCATACACTAAAATGAACCCATTTTATGCTTATAGTTCAATGAAGTATGGCTAATGTATACACCTGATGTATGGTTAAGATATACATTTAGCTCAAGACAAAATTTCCATTTATCCCTACATGTTTCCATGTGGGTCTTTGAAGTTTTACCCACCTTCCTGCAAATTGCCTAATTTCTGGTTTCAAGCTGATTTCTAAGCATAGTTTTGCATTAAGTACTTTGTGCCTAGCATTTTTTACCCAAAAATGTCTGGAAATAATATCACATGTATTAACAGTTCCATTTTTTTTTGGGGGGGGGGTCCGGTTGTGGGGCCTGTACTCTGGACCTGGGCACTGTCCCTCAGCTCTTCAGCTCAAGGCTAGTGCTCAATCACTTGAGCCACAGTGCCACTTCTGGCTTTTTTCTTTTTTTTTATGTGGTGCTGAGGAATCGAACCCAGGGCCTCATGCATGCAAGGCAAGCGCTCTACCACTGAACCGCCTTCCCAGCCCAGTTCTTTCATTTTTTAAAAAATTGCTGAGTAGCATACCACTGTCCATTCATCCACTGATGGACATTTCATTTGTCTGCATTCTCTGGACATGTACGCAAGAGTGAAAAAAAAAATTTTTTTTTGGTTGGTCATGGGGCTTGAACTCTGGGCTTGGGTGCTGTCCCTCAGCTCTTCAGCTCAAGGCAAGCGCTCTACCACTTTAGCTACAGCGCCACTTCCGATTTTTTGGTGGTTTTATTGAGATAGGAGTCTCACGGTCCCTCCTGCCCAGGCTGGCTTTGAACTACGATCCTCAGATCTCAGCCTCCTGAGTAGCTAGGATTACAGGCGTGGGCCACCAGCACCCAGCCAAGAGTAAAAAATCTTATAGGTGAATAATACACAAATTTAGAAACGTGATGAAAAAAATCAAGGTTGTGAAATACTTTGATTCCATGAGTGGTTAGAAAAGAAGACCGATTTCATCCTCAGACTTTGTGCAACACCTTTAATTGGTAAGCCGCTTGACCAAGATGTTTCTATAACACTTCGCTCAGTGTCCCTGCTGCTGCTTGAATTGTAAAAGCAGCAATAGAAATATGCTTCTTTACTTCTGTCCAGGCCAGATGGAGGTCTGCTCTATTTTCAATATCAAACATAGCATCATAAATTCCAGGAAATGATTCTCCATCATATTTGTTGTGGCTACTTGGAGCAAAGATGATGTGCCTACAAGGAAAACAAAACACTTAATAAAAAATTCTGAGAAACCATAGTTAATATCAATACATAGAAGCTTTGGGAAAATTGTCAGTATGCAACATGTTTCATATTGATTTCATCAAGGAACTCCTAGAGTCATGAAGGGAAAGAATATTTCCATGTTTCAGAATAAACCGAAACAATACTGAACTCCTTTTTAGTCTTAATATTTGGTTACTACTTTAGTGTAGTTAAACACTGTTGTCTTTTGGGAAGTGAGTTTTAGAGTAGCCTAGTTTGAAAATGCCCTCTGATCCTGGTCAGAAGACCCAAGCCCTAGTAATAGGGCCTTATGGAAATAAATTTTGTAATAGTAAATGCGGCAGGGTTAAAAAATCTCAAAGACAAAAATTGTAAAAGTAGCTGGGCATTGGCAGCATGTACCTGTTATCCTAGCTATTCAGGAGGCTAAGATCTGAGGATTGCAATTCAAAGCCAGCCTAGGCAGTAAAGTTTCTGAGACTCTTATCTCCAATTAAGCACCAAAAAAGCCAGAAATGTAGCTGTGTTGTGGTTTAAGTGGTAGAGTGCTAGCCTTGAACACATAAGCTATAGGACAGCAGCACCCAGGCCCTGAGTTCAAGCCCCATGACTAGCACACACACATACACAAAGAAAACTAACATAAGGTATACAAATGGTATCCAGTCGATGAGGAACTAGAACTAAGCTTACATTAAAAATCTCCAAGATAGAATCTTAAAATAAGTTGTAAAATAATACATAGTTCCTTCCATTCATGTAAAGGAGTGTTCATATGCTTATATAAAATACATATATACACTTATAAACAAATACAGCATATGCACATTTACATGAACTTACAAATCCTGTGGATACAGACATTTTTATATCCATGTCTATGCACATGCTAGACACTGATTTTTTTTCCCCTCAAGAATAGAGAAATTGATAGTGTTTATTGGCTTATGTTACAAACCAGGTTGTTGGAGTCCTAACCATATGGAAATTGAGTACGTGAGCTCCTCCAGTTAGGTATTCCTGACTGGGCAACCCAGATGACAGTGGGCAGTAATAATCAGCCCTGGCCTTTGACAAGGACAATGGATGGGATTTGGTACTTGGGGGTTCAGGTCTGAAGTCCCTGGCAGGGTAACCACGCAGGAATCAGTGCCCTATAGCAAATACCTTTTGGGACCGAATAGGTCTGCCTACCAAACCCAACCAGCTATTGTTAGTTTTACTTTCTCTGTTTTCTGCCCATACTCTGCTCCCAGTTGGTGTCCTGGCTTGCTGGTCTGATCATTTTTGGCCTGAAGGCACTCACTGGCCTCACTGTTGACTTTTCAGGGCAGCAGCTTCTCTCCCTTTGGCACTGCCAGTTCAGCAAATACGGGCAAACTACTTGAGAGAAAGTCTATTGGATCTGATGTTACAACTCAGAAAGGCAAAAAGAAGCTATCCCCTCCCCTTCACAAAGCCAGTTGATCAGCCTGATAAGATAGAAGGGGCAGGGCAAAGTGGCCACACCAATCAGAACAGTTCCTTCATGTTTGCACTAATCATAGGACAAACCATTATGCAAATGAAGGATTTTGATTACAGTAATCACAAGTATTCTCTTGGACCACTGTGTCATCTCTTCAACCCCAGCCCAGCTGATATGGAAGTTAGGACAATTGGCCTTTTGTTAGGCTAAAAGCAGCTTTCCGAAGGATGTTTATAACAAAGGTGTGTCCAAAACAACACTCTAAAAATATTTAACAATGCTTCAACATTGCTTAACTCCTGTCCAATTGTACCAGAGTGGTTCCCTACTATCTACTACATCTGGTTTGATGTAGTGTGTGAGGGAATGCCTGAAGCAGAATTGTCTCTTTTTATTCTATATGCTTCTATATTATGTACTTTTTAGATCTATAAGATATAGATGTTGAGTTAAAAACAAATTTAAAAGTATATAGACCAGGAGTGGGGGCGCAGCCACGGTGCAGCAGCAAATGCAGGGTCCAAGCCCATCATTGCCCAGTCCCAGCCTCCTCATTGCTCGGCTGCCCACGACTTCCTCTACCCGCCCAGCACAGCCTGCCTTTGCCTAGGATTCCTTGGGAACCTCAGGTGAATACTTCCTCTGCTGGGAAAAAGAAGAATGTGAGTAGATATATGCCCCCCAAGTTCAAGCGCCACCTCAATGATGATGACGTTACTGGCTCTGTGAAAAGTAAAAGGAGACATTTTTTGGAAGATGATTCAGATGAAGAAGAGGACTTTTTTCTAAGGGGACCATGTGGACCAAGATTTGGACCTAGAAATGATAAAATTAAGCATGTACATAATCAGGTGGATTAAGTTATTGATGTCATGCAAGAAAATATTACAAAGGCAATGGAAAGATGGGAGAGACTAGATGAGCTACAGGACAAATCAGAAAGCTTATCGGACAATGCAACTGCTTTTAGCAACAGATCGAAGCAACTTGTAAGGTAGATCTGGTAGCAAGGCTGCAAGATAAAAGCCATCATGGCTTTGGTTGCTGTTATCCTTTTGCTAGTGATTATCATTCTTATAGTTGTGAAATACTGTACTTGATTTGATGACAGATCCTCATTAAACAAGATCAGGGACAATAATAATAATGCATAATTTAAATGAAATCTATGTATATAACTTTCCAAACTTCTTCAAGAAACTTTAAATTGTAGCATTGAGAATGTCCAATTATCTTATTTCCTTCTAATAAAATGTCCTTTGAATAATTATGTTTAAGGCAAAAATAGCTATTTTGCTGTATTCCAAGAATCTAATTCGAAGCTAGATACTTGCCAGTTCATTGTTGGTGTATTTAGCTAAACATTGGTGACAGTATTTCATACTAGTATGTTAGTGATATAAGGACTTGAATTATTACATTAAACTGGGGCCAGACTGGGGTCAGGAAGCCTATGTTGAGTACCAAATTATTGTGCTAAAAGCAATGCACAACTACTCTATCAGCACTTTCAAGAATATCATTCTCTTCCTATTGGAATTGCTTTGCCAGCACTTTCCACATGTGTATAATTTTAACAAAAGCTAAATATTGTAAATGTTTCGGTCTTCAGCTATAACTAAAAACATTACAGTAAACTTATTTTTGATTGTATGAGGGAATATGTTAGTAATTATTTTGATATTTGGATTACAGAAATGGTAACTTTAAACAGTATGAAAATAATATAGTAACCTAAAACTTGATATAATAAAATTATTGGAAAACGTAAAAAAAGTATATAGACTAATAAGAAGTCTAAAATGTTGGTATTTCAACTTTTATGTAAATACTTAACTGATGGGTCCTATTCCATTTATCCATTAATGAATAAACATTTATAATCTACGTATAACATCAAAATAACTGGGATTAAGCTGGGTACTGGTGGCTCATGCCTGTAATCCTAGCTACTCAGGAAGTTTAGATCTGAGGATCCTACCCAGGCAGGAAAGTCTTTGAGACACTTATTTCAATAAATTACCTAAAAAGCTGGAAGTGGAGCTTTGGCCCAAGTGGTAAAGCACTAGACTTGAGGCAAAGAAGCTCAGGGACAGCACCTAGGCCCTCAGTTCAAGCCACAGGATTGGCAAAAAGAAAAAGAAATCTGGCATTTACTGAGTATATTCCTCTTTGACCTAAATCTTCATCATTTCTTAAATCTAAAAATTTATGAGGTGAAAGCAATTATAATCTCTCCTTATAACTGAGCAATCTGAGGCTTAGAGAAATAATTTGCCCAGATTATACTTATTAAGTGGCAAAGATGGCCCTAACAATGTCTGCTTGAAATTATTTAAGTATGAATAGTAATCAGCATTTAAAGAATATTAATTTATAGAAATGTTTTTGTATGCCGGGCGCTGGTGGCTCACGCCTGTAATCCTAGCTACTCAGGAGGCTGAGATCTGAGGATCGCGGTTCAAAGCCATCCCGGGCAGGAGAGACTGTGAGACAGACTCCTATCTCCAATAAACCACCAGAAAACCGGAAGTGGCGCTGTAGCTCAAGTGGTAGAGCGTTCGCCTTAAGCTGAAGAGCTGAGGGACAAGCTCCACGACCGACAAAAAAAAAAAAAAGAAAATTTTGTATGTGTGACTAAATCACACATCTATACACATCTATAAATGTGCTTCAACACAGCTGAATGCTCTGACTCTGAATACTGGAACCTTTCTAATTTCCACCTAGAAACCAGAGTTAAAAGGGATCTTGAGAAAGACAAGACTGTCCAGAGGCATAGTCAACCAGACACTGAAAAAAAATGTGTGGAAACACAGATAACCAGGGTACTTTTTCAGAGGAACATGACAAATGTCTACAAATCCAAAACATAAGAAAATACAATTAAACTTACTTGATTATAGAGAACAGGACAGGGTAAGGAGAATATTATAGAATAATACATCTGAGATCTTTATGGAGAGAATTTCCTAATAATTAGGAATCATTCAATAATAAGCTTCCTATACTTCTAAAATTGAAATACAGAATGAGTAAGTATTATAAACCCTGTAAAAAAGTTTCATGCCAATGGATGGAGTTAAATGAGCTCTAAGATCTTTAAAATTCTAAGGCTTGAATATTTTATTCCAGAGATCTTCTTAAACTGCCATTTAACATTTGCATACAGAACAAAGCAATAAATTATGTAAAACTAATTTTTCTTACATTCTATGTTACACTACTGAATGAATAGTCATATCTATAATCTCTTCAGTATACACATTCACCTACTCATGGCTTAAGTTTAAAAATGACTTTTGGTATGCTTCTGTTTTTTGTTTTTAATGTATGTATTTTAGTGTCTTTTAGGGAATTGCAGTTTTCTTACCTGTAGAACCTCCTCCCTGGTAAGCCAAGGGGATCTATGAATGCTCTTTCCAGGAGCATCAATTGGTCATTCACAATTCTCACTGCAATGGGACTTTGACAACATGAAATTAGAACCATAATTAGAACAGTACTTTCTTACAACCATTCTTAAAACTATGACAATTTGGCAAAAGGAAATGAACCCACAGGAGAAAAGAAGAGAAACCAGAAAGGGTAATGCAGAATGTGTGGTGTGTGAATTGATCAAAGTAGTATGTGTGAAAATGTCATGAAACTAATGACTCTGTATACCTTAATAAAACAGAACAACAAAGTGGAGCCTTTATCATTGAATGATGTTTAAAGTAATATCAAGTAAAAATAAGGCTTGGGGAAAATAAAATGAATAAGCTTTTTAACATAATTCCTATTAGAACTGTAATGCTTTACATGTTAAGCAACATATACCAGCATTTAAAATAAACAGCATCCTAACAGGATTTCATTGTTTCATTTTTGCAAAACTAGAAATTTGTCCAAAGATCGGATACTCCACTTTTCTGTAGAAAAGCCAGGTCTTCAAAGGTGGAGGCAGCAATGCTTGATAGGAAATGTACTCATTACCTTGCTCATGTAACTTAACCCCTCTGTAGAGTCTTTTTACAATAAAAAAAATGTACAAAAAAAAGAAAAGCCAGGTCTTTTGGAAAGTAGATAGAGAGAACTATTTTGTCAAGTCATTTCTGTAAGTCATACAGATTATGGTGAACCAAAGGAGTAGAATGGAAGCTGAGTAATCAAGAGTGAGTGAAGAGGTGAGAGGGAAGGGATGGTAGGGGAAAAGCAAAGGAGGAGGCAACAATGCTGGATAAGAAATGTACTCATTACCTTGCTCATATAACTGTTAACCCCTCTGTACAGTATTTTCATAACAAAAAATTTAATAAAAAAAAGAGTGAGTGACAGTACCAGGAATCTGTAAGAAGGAATGACAGCTGCATACATGTGTCCACTGGGAATATTTACAGTATCTTTGAGAGCTACATAAATTCCCTTTCCCACAATCGACAAGGAAAGGGAGGTTCCTCAAAATAAGTAATATGTTTTCTGCTTTCTGATCAAATAAAAATAAATATATTTTAGACTTTGCTTTGGAGCAATTTGTGCTTATTACATAATGGTTGGCTTTGAATATATCTTTTTTATTGTGAAAATACTGTACAGAGGGGTTACAATTACATGGGCAAGATAATGAGTACATTTCTTACTAAGCATTGTAGCCTCCTCCTTTTTTCCCCTTTCCATCCCTTCCTATCCTCTCCCCCCCCCCACCAATATATCTTTTAAACTAATTTCAACCTGAAAGTGGCAAGATGTTAAATGAAATTCAAACACCTATCACCAAAGGAAGTATCTGTAAACTGACCCATAGAGAACTAGACAAGGACTTAACTATATTGTATATGCATTTAAACCCATGAAGCTATGAATTGCCAGTTGTGGACTGAATTCTCATCATGTAAACTCAAGACATGCTTCTGGCCCTTGTCTTGGAAGCTCCAGGTTTCAGCCTACCATGATTAGCAATGCTCCCACACTGGAAGTCCAACATGAATCATCTTCAGGTCTTGTTAAAAAAGAAGAATTTTAATTTGATATGCTGTGAGTGTGGTCTGATTTCTTCCTTTCTAACAAGCTCCAAGGTGATTGATGGCAGTGATAATGGAGCTGGTTTGTTGGCCATGATTTGAATAGCACTGATGTAGAGCTGAATGCTTGTATGAATGAAAACAGTTCAATCTTTTCAGCAAATAGCTGAAATAGGCATTTAAAACTTACTTATCAAAGTCAACTTGCTGAAGTCTTCTATGGAAATCTGAAGCAGCCTCTGAGAAGTTTCTCACAGCAGAAAATAAAGGATCTTTTTAAAAGGAAAATAAATTAGTAAGCTCGAGTAATTATAATTTCAGAGGTTCATATTCCAGTTCATTCCAGGCTGATGTACTGGAACCATTTTCTATCAAGCCTTCTTGGAGAGTCATGAAATTTACTAGAAATTATTTTAAATATGGTATGAAAATTAAAAATTGGTTCCTAAGGAATTACCCTTCAAAAGCCTATTACATAAATCATTCTTTGACATACACTTTATCAAAACCTATTATTCATTTGATATACATTCATTGGGACAATTACCATAGTGAAACACCAGGCACATCTGAAATGAGAGATAACTCCTGTAATTATGACAGACTTAAAACAGTATCACTCCTTACTTTCAAATAGTACATTTTAGTTCTTTCATAAAAGGCAACCTGTGATAAACTTATATACCCAGACTCTTGAAAAGGGGATCAGGTTTGGTTTGGTCAAACTTGTTTAGCTCACCAAATTCCTAAGGAAAGTGACAACAGTTTTTTTTTTGAAATAACACATTGTCTTCTAAGTAAGACTTAACATGTTATTTATTTAGGATTTAATCAATTCTATGATGTAGGCAAAATAGGAAATACAATATTTATTTACGGATAAAGCATTTACCCTCACACCACAAGGTCTGTTAGGTCACACATCTAGAAGGTGGTACCATCCATATATGGACACTGATCTTACATTTTCTTTCATTAAACTCTACTTGGTTTTCAATTATGTTCAAATTAAATAATCTAGTAGAAGAGAAGATGGGAGCTAAGAGAACAGTTCTGAAGAATAAATTTTAAGTTCTAAATACGGAAGTCAAGATGAGAACTGAAATGTGCCCCTAGGGTGTAGTAACAGTGACAACATTTTCAGTAGTGTACAGTAGGTATCATGGTGAATTAGCCAATAGAAGGCAAAAAACTAGAGACAAATGTAGATTATGTATTCCTCCACTCACCATGCCTTATCCTTCATGAAAACACTTTCTAGGAATTGTTGCCTGGCACTAGATGAAGAATTTTTATTTGTAGGAAATAAGGCAAATCAAGAGGAGACATACTGTTGTTGAGACAGAAAAAACATGAGAACCTTTCACCTGATATAGCCACCAGTGGAAGTGAAGAAAATGGCATAAACAGATAACATGAGGTCCCCAAGAAAGTAAGTGGTTGGAGAACTTAACCTGGTGAAAGAGGGCCTTTCCATTGAGCTTATTAGTATCTGTCTCTTGTTTGGACCCTAACTTACATCAAATAAAGAAAATTCACCAGAGGGTGGTCAGGAGTCTCAAGGGGGTTACTAGATGCTGCACAGTTATAGGACCATGTGTCTCCATTCTGTAGGCTCTTTTGGTTAATATATGTTTCTCAGGAATAAATAGCACTTAGTACATAGCACTAGCAAAAGGCAATACTTACTAAGCTAACATTGAGCTCAATATTTGCTGAGTACCAGGTACCACTGCTACTGCGTAGTATGTAACATTTTTCACAACATTTTCTGAAAAATGTGATATTCTTTTTTTAATTCACCTATGAGAAAAGTGCTGCTTAGAGAAGTTAACTTTACAAAGGTCACAGAGATGAGAGGGTAGAGCTAGTATCTGAGTCATGGAACTGCTTCTAGATCCAATGCTGAACACTACTAAACAACATTATATTTTGTCCACACTGGATAGTACAAGTACCTGAATTAGAGTGTGGACTAGAGTGGCCAGTTACAAAAGGAAAGCCTGCTTATACCTATGTAAAAATCCTTCATATAAGCTAATGGATAATAATATAGGCAATAGAACTGAGGGCTTTCTCTATTTTTCAATCTTTTCATAATATTGTTGCGTTTTCCACATTTTATTCCTGTAGGAGAAAAAAGATACTTTTTTGAGACAGTGTCTCACATGTAACTGTAATATAGACTTGCTTCAAACTTGAACTACATCTTCTGGCTCTCAAGTGCTGTGACTCAGTGTGAACCAATGCACTCAAGCTAAAACATATTTCAATACTACAGAACAGAACTAATTCAGGGTTTGCAGCACTATCTCAATCACAATGGATTCATATTAGTCATATTAGATTAAATCAGATTCCTAAATAGGTGTTGATGCAAAGCTTTTGTCTGGAAGTTAGAGAGAGTAGGAGACACAAGGGTAGTTCTAGAATGAAACAATATACACTGATCATGATAGCAGATAATAGCTTCAAGTTCTAACTTAAAGACTACATACAAAGTATCTTACCAAATGATACTCCATTTGCTGTCAGTTGTTCTCCATGTTTCTTGGATAAATTGAAGATACTTTCTGCGTAAGTTTTCAAAGAGTTTGCATAGTCTTGAATATTGAAAGGAATGATTGTCGAGTCAGCAAGTTCATAAACCAGTGCTCCGCGTAATTGAGCCACAGAAAGCTGTTTTTTAAATGTAGGATCATAAAAATTCTCCACTAGTTCAAAAGTCTCATAAATCGTGTGGTACATTGGGTAGTTGCTATATTTATCTGTTTTCTAAAATGGGGAGTGGCACAAGAATAAATAAGCATTAAATGTTCAAGTTACAACATAAATGTAACCACAGAAATGACTATAGGAAAAATATATACAGTATCCCGAGTTTCATCATCATAAAGCAAAAATAAAACAAAATTGAAATAAAGCACTACATTCAAATTGTTCATTGATTTAATTTATTTTTTTTTGGTCGGTCGTGGGACTTGAATTCTGGGCCTGGAAGTGTCTCTGCACTCTTCAGCTTAAGGCAAGCACTCTACCACTTGAGCCACAGCACCACTTCTGGTTTTCTAGTGATTAATTGGAGATAAGAGTCTCACGGACTTTTCTGCCTGGACTGGTTTTGAACCGTGATCCTCAGATCTTAGTCTCCTCTGTAGCTAGGATTACAGGCATGAGCCACCGGTGCCGGCTGATTTAAAATTTTATATTTGTTCATTTCACAACTTATGTAAACTTCATTACAAATACATGCATTCCTGATAACTAAAATTAAATAATATATACTTAAACTGAATTTGTGAAGTTCAAGATTATCTTTGGATTGAGGATGAAAGGTTTTTGGCAGCTAACTATATATATAGCAAAAAGTTGATATATTTAAAGCCTTCCCTCTCTTCTTAAGGAGTCTTCAACCAAGTGCATTTAACCACGATTACACAAGTAAGAGCTTACTACTTACTAAGAGCTTATTACATTATTACATCATTACATACAGATATCCTGTAAGAATTTCCTGAGTTCTTGGGTCTTCCTAACTTAACTTTAGCTTTTACCATCTACTACCTTATTGCCATATACTACCTTGTGAGCTCGCTATCACTTTGCTTTTGGTATTACTTTTTTAAACATTTTTATTGGAAAAAATTCTGTACAGAGGGGTTACAGTTACATGAATAAAGTAATGAGTACATTTCCTATTGAGCATTGTTACCCCCTCCTTTGTTTTTTAAATTCTTGTATCAATCTTTCTCCCATCTAACTATGTGCCTTAGTCTTAGGCACATTGAGAGGAACTTAAGATATAGAAAATTAAAAAAAATTAATGACAATATAAAAGTGGAAAACATGGTGAAAATATGGGAGAGCTATGAGAAATGACATTTTTTTGGGGGGTCCGGTAGTGGGGCCTGAACTCTGGACCTGGGCGCTGTCCCTCAGCTCTTCAGCTCAAGGCTCTACCATTTGAGCCACAACGCCACTTCTGGCTTTTTTTTTCTTTTTGCTTATGTGGTGCTGAGGAATCGAACCCAGGGCCTCAGGCATGCAAGGCAAGCACTCTACCACTGAGCCACCTTCCCAGCCCCAGAAATGACTTTTTCTATATTTAACTTTTGGAGAGAAATGGTTCAAGCAAAGAGGATCAAGGCTATGTAGCATTGTAAACAGATACACCACTGAAACTCACAATTAGCTATGATAGTTATTTCAGTGGCACAAAATGTATTATAATTAATTTTGCACTTATGATTTTATACTATGCTTTCACTTACATTGCTTTATACTATATATTTAGTTTGTATAACATTTTGATAATTTTTCAATTTTCAATAAAATTTTATATACTTTATGATGTTAATAAGATAAACTTTATGCATATATTTTATGCATTCATAGCAGAGAAGAACTCATTATGATATCTGTAGAATATGCACTTTGTAAGATTTTTTTCAAATTATTGCAAATCATCAAAACAATCTGCATATAAGTGGAACTGTTCAGTTCAAACCCATGTTGTTGAAGGGCCAATGGTATTTTTAAAATTTTTTACCAGTCCTGGGGCTTGGGCACTGTCCCTGAGCCTCTTTGTGCTCAAGGCTAACACTCTACCACTTGAGCCACAGCATTACTTCCACCGTTTTCCAAGTAATGTATTAAAGATAAGAGTCTTACAAACTATAACTATTCAAATGAACAAGATCTTGGTGTATTGCATTTTTGAGTTGAAAATTAATTAAAACTGTGAAAGAAAAACCAGTGTCTATTACTGTAATCTTCAATTTGACTTCTGATATAATTGATAACTTAGATAAGCCAACGTGCTGTTTCTTGGCTGTGACCCAGTGGCTGTGTATCATCAAGATTCTCAAGTAACAATGGTAATGGAGTATCCAGTGCAGAACAGAAGCATTAAAATGATGAGAAAATTGATTTCTCTACTCAAGGGACATTGGCTGGTATTATGCAGCAATGTGGCCATGGTAGCAGAGAATCTTAGGTTAGCAGACTCCCAAACAGAACATGTCCCCTAGCTGCACTTTTCCTCCTGAAAAGCATATCAGAACCTAGAAGACCAGCTAGGAAGTGAGATTTCCAATAGGGGATGAGAATTGCTTAGCACTGGGCTGGGAAGATGGCTCAGTGGTAGAACATTTGTCTTGCATGCATGAGGCCCTGGTTCAATTCCTCAGCATCACATAAGCAGAAAAAGCCGGAAGTGGCACTTTGGCTCAAGTGGTAGAGCGCTAGCCTTGAGCTGAAGAGCTAAAGAGCTGAGGGATAGCACGCAGTCTCAGAGTTCAGGTCCATGGCAAAAAAAAAAAAAAAAAAAAGAATTGCTTAGCACTGATAATCAGTTAGAGATCTGGCATTTCTATGTTAATAGCATTAGGATTGAAATATATCCAAAATAACTATTCTTTAGTCTGTCTATGAAGGAGCGACAGACAGTCTATCTCTATTTCTGCAACTCCTCTCAGGTCAATGTCTTACTAGTGCCAGATGTAACAATTTAGTGACAGAGTTCCTCATTCACAGAATACTAATGATTAGTCGAGTCTGGATCTGGGATGTCCTTAGAGGCTCACATGTTGATAGAACCTTTATGAACCAGGCCTTGTGAGAAGTCTCCTGTTACTGAGGCATGACCTTAAAGGGGTTGGACAATCCAGCCCTTTCTTGTCTCCTTTTTGCTTCCTATCTGCTTCTTTAGCACATGGCAAGCCTATTTATCATAGGCTTAAAAGCAATAAGTACAATTGACTCTGATCTGAAATCTCTGAAACTGTAAGTCAAAACAGCTTTCTCTCTTTATGATTTGTTTACCTTAGGTTTTTCAATACAGTAAAAAAATTTGACTTAAACATATATTACATATTCAAAAGGATAAAATTTGTCTTACCCTATTTTTAGTATAACGTGCTCTGCCTGAAGCAATTCCAAGTCTTTGAAAATAAGCTTCAAAATCACTTCCAGATCCAAGCTTATTGATTCTAAATGTAGAGTATAGATAAATAAATATAGGCTCATGTACAAGAAAATAAACAATACAAATTTAAATTGACAAGAAATTGACTAGAGCAGGGAATTTCACAGAACATAAAAGAATCATAAAAAGCTGGCCAATTTTCAAGATACTTTCCTATCATTTGCTGGAAGATTGTTGCAACAAATCACAGATCTGCACTGAGTACAACTAGAGTTGAATATTTTTACAAAACATACATCATAATAAGGAAGCTGTCTTCAGAAGTTTCACCATCTGTGATACTTGCTTAGAGGGGAAACCAATGAAGCCACAGTCTATGTAAAAGAGAGAACTAGAGATATGCACAGGAGGGGATAGTCTATAGAAGAACTAGAGCCATGTAATAGGCTGAAACCTAGAGGTTCCAGGTTATAAGCTAACCCAGGAAAAACAAACAAACAAAACAAAAAAATCTCAAACCATAAAACAGTGTATGAATTTCCAATTATTCTGCAAGAAGTCCAGGCTGGAGGTATGGATCAAGCAGGAGAGCATCATACATGACTCAGAAAACTGAGGGAGAGTACTAGGCCCTGAGTTCAAGTTCTGGTATGAACACACACACACACACACACACACACACACACACTACAGTGTAATAAGAAAGCTGCCACAGAAAATGTATATTTAATATCATGAAAAGACACATTCCCAGTGGTAGAGTGCTTGCCTAGCATGTATGAAGCTCTGGGTTTGATTCTGGAGTACCAGAGAAAGAGCCAGAAGTAGCACTGTGGATCAAGTGAAGAGTACTAGCCTTAAGCAAATGGAGCTCAGGGACAGTGCCCAAGCTCTGAATTCAAGCCCTAGGACCAGCAAAAACAAAAACAAAAATGATGATAAGGACTCAAAAGGTTTTTCTTTCTTGCTATTGTTTCTAACATATTTATAAGATGATTTCTTTGTTGCTTTGTATGTCCCTCCCCCATGGTATAACCCCTGTTTTCACTGTATTTGATGTTGGTATAATTTGTGGAGGGGAAGGGAAAAAAAACAAATCATTTAAATAAGGATACAGGTGGACCCATTGCAACGATGAGATGTACAAGACATTATGTCGAGAAACGAACTTTACAACTTTGGCACGGGGTGGGGGAAGATGGGAAGGGATAGAAAGGGGAAACAAAGGAGAAGGCAACAATGCTTGATAAGAAATGTACTCATGACCTTGCTCATGTAATTGTAACTCTTCTGTACGGTATTTTCACAATAAAAATACATTATTAATTAAAAAATCATGAAAATAAGTGTGCCTTGTTTCATTTCAGCAGTAAGATGTGAGAATGTTGAAAGAGGTAGGTGACATTGATCAAGATATATTGTATTCATAAATTGTTTTATTAAATGATAAACCTTTGTAAAACTTCTTAAAGAAAATTAAAAAAAAATCACTTAAGCCAGGCACTGGTGGCTCATGTCTGTAATCCTAGTCATGCTGGAGGCTGAGATCTGAAGATCTCAGTGTGAACCCCAGCCCAGGCAGAAAAGGCCATGAGACTCATATCTCCAATTAACCACCTAAAAACAGGAAGTGGAGCTGTGGTTCCACTTTTTTCACTTGAGCAAAAAAGCTCAGGGAAAGTGCCCAGACCCTGAATACAAACCCCATGATCAACAAATAAATAAAATAACAAAAATAAAAAATAGTCTGTGATATTTTTGCCTTTAAAAATCAAATCATTGTCTATTCATATACACATTTACATACAAATATACACATATAATAAAAGACATGGAAAAAATCTGTTGTGACAATAAAGGTCAGTAAGCAGAATATACAATTACATATACATTGAGAATATAACTATAAGCTGGGTGCTAGGGGGGTGGTCACACCTGTAAACCTAGCTTCTTTTGAGGCTGAGATTTGAGGACTGTGGTTTGAAGCTAACCCAGGCAAGAAAGTCCTGGAGACTCTGATCTCCAATTAACCACCAAAAACCTGGGGTGGTACTATGGCTCAAGTGAAACAGAAAAGCTAAGGGACAGCACCCAGACACTGAGTCCAAGACTTAGAACCAGCACAATAAAAAAAGAAAATTAAAACTGGGCGCTGGTGACTCACACCTGTAATCCTAGCTACCCAGGAGGCTGAGATCTGAGGATCCTGATTCATAGCTAGACCAGACACAAAAGTTGGTGAGATTCTTTTTTTTGTGTGTGTTTAATTTTTTTTTATTTATTTAATTTATTTATTTTCGTGAGACTCTTATCTCCAATAAAACCATTTAGAAAACTGGAAGTGGCATAGTGGCTCAAGTGGTAGAGCACTATCCTTGAGCCGAAGAGCTGAGGGACAATGCCTAGGCCCAGAGTTCAAGCCCCATGATGTAAGGTCCTCTCCTGGATGGCGAGCAGACTCCACCCTCCTCCCAGCAAAGTCTCCACCTAGTACCTGCGTTACCTAGGCAACTGGGACACCTGGAAGAGGTCACATCTGCATCTGCTGAGGTCACATCTGAATTTGATGTGGCCACACCTTTCTCCGCCCATACCCTAGATAAGGCCTAGCCTGAGGCCCAGATTTTCTCTTTCTCTCTCTCTCTCTCTGCTCTTGTCTAGCTCTTCTCAAGCTCTTTTCTCTCTCTCTTTCCTAGGCCTTTCCCAGCCGCATGGAGTGCCAACCTTGCCTGGTCCCAGCAGGTCTACTGAATAAACCTACCCCTTACCTGAATACCACGTTCGTGGTGCAGTTCTTACTCGGCCTACCTCTTTTTAAAAACCTAACATAAATGGTGCCATGACTCGGATTCGAACCGAGGTGCTATTGTTCTTTTTTTTTTTTGGGCCCGGTCATGGGGCCTGAACTCTGGGGCCTGGGCTCTGTCCCTCAGCTCTTCAGCTCAAGGCTAGCGCTCTGCCACTTGAGCCACAGCGCCACTTCTGGCTTTTTTCTTTTTGCTTATGTGGTGCTGAGGAATCGAACCCAGGGCCTCGAGCATGCCACCTTCCCAGCACGGTGCTGTTGTTCTTACTAGGCTTCCTCTTTTTAAAAACCTAACACATGACCGGCAAACAAAAAAAGAAAATTAAAAAGGAAAAGAACTTAAATGTAAATTCCCAAGCTATTAGACTGTTAAATGTGTTTTTGGGATTGTATTTTTATTTTATGTTTTGGTGGTAACTGACAATTGCAGTCAGAACCACTAGCCCTCTGAATGTTTTTTACATGTCTTTTTGACTATTTTTGTTAGATTATGAAACTTTTTTGTTCTGATCCTGGGACTTGAACTCAGGGCCTGGATACTATACTTGAGCTATTTTACTTAAGGCTGGTACTTGAGCTACAGCTGGTACCTGAGCTACAGCTACACTTTCAGCTTATTTGATACTTAATTGGAGATAGCTTCAGCCTTCCATCTTCAGGTTACAGATCCTACTCAGATCCTGAGTAGTTAGGGTTACAAGTGTGAGTTCCCAGTACCAAGCAATTATAAAGTTTTTATAATAGAAAGTACTTGAAATTTCACAATATTCATTTGGGATATGGGTGATGACATAAAGCTGGTATTAGAAACAGTTATATCAAGTGCGAGGCTGTGGCTCAGTGAGAGAGCCCACCTAGAATGGACAACAAAAATTTTTAAAAGCTAAAAAAAAAATTTAAAAAGCTGCTCTGGTCTACAAGAGAAGAGCTAAAAATAAAGATCTACAAGATCTAAATACATTACTTGTAAGCACACATTTTGGCTGTCAATTCTCCTTAAATATAGAAATAATCCATCATTTAGTTTTCCTTTATCACTGTTGTTTGTGCCTATATTGTTTTTTAATGCATCTGTTATTTATCTGCAGGAACTTTTGGGTAAGAATGCTAAATAATGGCTAATGAAGTTACAAAAATCATTTTGACTAAAATGTGCAAATATAGATCTTCCTGTGTTCATTTGAAGGTTAAAGTTTGGCTGTGTTAATGGATTAGTAAAACAATGGCTGCACAGAACATTCCTTTTTTTTTTTTTTTTTGGTCAGTTGTGGGGCTTGAACTTGACCTGGGCACTGTCCCTGAGCTCTTTAGCTCAAGGCGAGTGCTCTACCACTTGAGCCACAGTGCCACTTCTGGTTTTCTGATGGTTAATTGGAGATAAGAGTTTCACAGACTTTCCTGTTCGGCTGGCTTTGAACCACTATCCTCAGATGTCAGCCTCCTGAATGACTAGGATTACAGGTGTGAGCCACCAGCACCTGGCTAAGAATAGAACATTCTTTTATTAACTTTATCCACATTATTAATGGCAATGCATTCATTGGAGAATGGTATGTTTGAAGAAACAGGCAAAGGAGAATTCATAACTGAATTTGTGTTACCTAGGAAGATCTTTATTCTCAGGTGACGGGTCTTTTTCCAGCCAGCTTTCATACAGTGATTTACTTTCATAACCATCATCAGGGCTAGAGATCTAAGAAGATAAATCACAGACTGGAGATTAGAGAAAGAGGCAAAAAAAATCATGCCAGCATAAAACCACATCCTACTGGGCATCAACTTTTGCTACCTATCTAAATAAATATGTATATATCATTATCATTTGTAGAAAAATATCTTCTTGCAAATGCCAAGGAAAAAGTCATGTCCAAATTCTTGTTCTTTTATGGTGGTGCCTGTGGGTAATTTTGCCAAGTACCTAGGATGTAATTTCCTGCTTATTTTGATAAACTTTTCTAGAGATTTTTCAAATTTTTCACAGACATCATCCTTTTCATGTTGCCATCTGAGTTTTACTTTTGTTGAGTCAGCAGTGTACTGATATCAATTGAAAAATAAATGCTACTAATTGCTACTCATAGTACTTTCATCAGAAAACAGGCAGACAGGTCTTTTTCTATACCTCTTTTGTCAATTTATATACCAATTGGTAAAGAAGAGGTGTACAGTCAATTCGGATTGTGTAATTGCCTGAAAAATAGATAAAACACAAAAAATATTATTACTTAGAAATGAAATACCATTTACATTTAATTCTAAAACTTCTTTTTGGAACAAGGGCTAGGCTTATAGCCCAACCTGACCAGAAAGCTCACTATATCGTTCAGACTGGTCTCAAACTCTTGATCCTCCTGCTTCCACTTCCAGCATGCTAGAATCATGTTACCACACTCTAATATCTTATAATTTTAATCAAGATATATCAGTATTTAAATAAATTAAAGATGCAATTCCCATGATGGAACTCAAGAGTGAAAGAAATTACAGAATGTGTTCTGAAATGAAGATGGGATAGGTGGCTTTAACAGTTAAGGCAGCTGTGAAACCACCATCCTGGGTAAGCATCTTTCAGGAAGACAATGGTGAAGGAATGTGGTGAGAGCACAGAATTAATTCTTCATTTTTCCATTGAATGCAAAGATGTGTACCAAAACATTAGACAAGAGTACAAAGTTCTGACATTCATCTAGAATCAATAAAAATGCAATGGAAGTCTGGAGGCAAATACCATGAAGCAAAAGCCATATGCCCATGGCTCATCCCTTTTCAATCCAACTATTGAATTCCAGTTCAAAGCCAGCCCAAGTAGGAAAGTCTGTGAGATGACGTCTAATTACCCAGCAAAAAGCTGAGCTAGAGTTAGTGTTCAAGAGTTACAAAACCACCATGAGCAATCCAACCAAATGAGAGACATTTGGCCCTGAGTTAAAAACATGATACTGACACAAAAACAAAAACAAATCAAGAAGTTAGTAGCTTGTGCTTACTTCAAACTCACCCAATACACATAGAAAATACTATTTCATCAAGGATATGTTTCTGCATGGGATAGTATGTGCAATTTTTTAGACAGATTCCTTTTTTTTGTGTGTCAGTTGTGGGGCCTAAACTCTGGGCCTGGGCACTGTCCCCCAGCTCTTCAGCTCAAGGCTAGCACTCTACTATTTAAACCACAGTGCCACGTCTGGCTTTTTCTGCTTATGGTGAACCCAGGCCCTCCTGCATGCAAGGCAAGTACTCTACCACTGAGCCACCTTCCCAGACCAGATTGCTTTTTTGACAGGAAAAATGTGGTTAATGCTATAATTTTAAGGGGTAATTCAAGCTAAACAAAATGTAAATATACTAAAGAAATTAGAAATAGTAGCTTAGTTTTAAATGGTTGTGATTGATACAAATTATATTTCCCTATCATAAACTTGTAAATGAAATCATTAGTGAGGAATCTCATAAGATAAAATAAGCATATGAGATAGCTGACAAATGAGAATTTATAACATTCAAATGCAATATACTCTTTAATTACCATAACATAGTTGAAATAAATTTTTTGCACATTTTATTTCAGTTTCAAATAAAATTTACCTTCTATAGACGAATCTGAATTGATATATGCAATGGTTCTCTCCTGGAGTATTTTCACATTCTCCTGTAGTTGAAGCAAAGTTGTGACCTAATTTACAACATTTACTTTGGTGAAAATATAAACAAAATAAGCAAAATGGTATAGTGGAAGAATGGTTTCCACATGCTTTACAAACCAATCCAAATTCTGACCATACCTCCTGAGAAATGAGGGAAAATAAATGATTGACAAAACTAGTAAGAGTCAAATTAGACAGAAGAATATTATGAGGTAGTAGCTTCTGTTTGTAGTATCATGAAAGAGACACAAAAAAAGCATTTTTTCAAATGTGTCTTCATGATTCCCTGAATCAGAACATGCCAGGGAGAGGTTTCAACATTTGGTGCCTGGTTCCAGATCTAATGAGAACTGCTCAAAGGCAGGCCTGAAATCTGTGTTTTCTAACAGACAGCCCCAATGACCAATTCTTACAGACACCAAATTCTAAAGTCCACTATGAGCGGACACCTAGAAAAAAGTTCTTATATTCATAGTGAAAAATAGAAAAGTGTCCAAATTTATGAAAACAAATGGGTACTGAACAAATTTTTACAAAGATGAGCAGAGCAGAGGGAAAGAAGGAGGGACATTTTAGCACAAAACCAAGACTATCAAACCCATACAAATACACACATCCAAGAAAGCATCATATAGAGACAGGCATGTGCCCTTCACAACCCTCTCTCTGTTTCCCTCGTTGTGTCTCATTACCAGTGAGAACTTGTTATAATAGAAACATCACAAAGCTTGTGTGTTTATGGTACAATAAAATCCATCATCTTGTTATACTAGCTTGAACCACAAACTTGATTACAGTTGTCCCTCGCTACATCGTGTTCATTCATTGCGGCTTCACTGTATCGCGGGGTACTAAAAGAAATAGTAAATAGCGCTCCCTCACTATTCCAGAGACCCGTGGGAATCTGTGGAACAGCCATCAATGAGCCATGAGAAAGAGAGGGGCGACTGCCTACCGCCGCTATTTGGCGGGTTTTCACCTTTCACAGGGTGACCAGCGATGGTCAGTGTACAGCAGGGAAAGAGCTTCCTTAACAATTGTAGTATAAAGATGATCTCCTATGTGTATACATAGAAGTTAAAGATGCTGTTGAATATGATACAGAATTCAGTAGAAAACTGAAGAGTGTTGAAATTTTCTTTTAATCCGTATGTGCATATAATTATTACAAAATCAATTACAAAATTAATGCAAAGCACATTTATTGTTTTAAATCTTTGTTCTTTTTTTTTTTTCTTTTGTCAGTCATGGGGCTTGAACTCTGGGCCTGGATGCTTCCCTCAGCTCTTCATCTCAAGGCTAGCACTCTACAACTTGAGCCACAGCACCACTTTCAGTTTTCTGGTGATTTTACTGGCAATGAAGAGTCTCCCGGACTTTCCTGCCTGGGGCTGGCTTTGAATCTCAGCCTCCTGAGTAGCTAGGATTACAGGCGTGAGCCACCAGCACCCAGCTAAATCTTTGTTCTTTATTTGGGCTTCTAAAATAGACACACATATTTATACATGCATGTATCATAGAAATATTTCTCATAATTAATGACCTTAATGAAGGATACTTGATTGATTTAAATTAACCACTTTGTTTCAAATTCCTACTGTAAAAAATAAAAATTGCTATGTAAATATAATCAACAAAGGAAAAGTGACATTAGACAAATAATTGCATATGACTTTACTCTGATGTTTATATGATTCACATACCCCTTACTATTTTTATATGTCAAAGGGAGGACATTATTTTGAAGTACTTACAATGTCAAGCTGTATGTACTATGCTTTATAACACTTCCATGGAATCTGGACGCCTAATAATGGATAAATGGTGGAGCAAAAACAAGTACCAATGTACACAAACATGTGTGAGCTTAACTTAAATACATATAAAGTTACAAATTACTTAATAAAGAGGTTTGGGGAGGAGGATGAAAGAAAAGGGCCAAGGAGACACAATGAAAGAATTAAGAGCAAGTGAAAGTGAACATCATTATCTGAAGGACAATTTTTTAAAAAATCTTGTAAAATTATAACATAGGTTATTAGCTGGCACTGGTGGTTCACGCATGTGATCCTAGCTACTCAGGAGGCTGAAATCTGAATATTTTTGTTCAAACACAGCTAGGACAGAAAAGGCCATGAGACTCTTATCTTGAATTAACCACCAGAAAACCAGAAGTAGTACTGTGCTTCAGAATGGTAGAGTGTTAGTTTTGAATGAAAAAGGTCAGGGACAGTGCTCAGGCTTTGAGTTCTAGCCCCATGATTGAGAAAAATAAAATAAAATAAATAACAACAACACAGTACGTTACTTTATTAAGTAATTCAATCTACAAATTTATCATTTGTGAAAGGTAAAAACAGCTTTTGAGCTGGGTGCTTAAAGCTCATGCCTGTAATCCTAGTTACTCAGGAGGCTGAGATCTGAGGATCACGGTTTGAAGCCAGCTTGAACAGGAAAGTCTATGAGCCTCTTGTTGCCAATTAACCAGCAAAAATGCCAGAAGTAGAGCTGTGGCTCAAGAAGTAGAGCACTAGCCTTAAGCAAAAAATAAAAATTCTCAGAGATAGAGCTCAGGCCCTGAGTTAAGGCCCCAGTACTGGCATACACTCACACAAACACACATACAAACAATAGCCTGCTATTGATTATCTTCTGAGTTTACAGATTTAATTTTCACAAAATATATAAAAGAATTGTTGACAATGAATATATGTGTAGCCTGACCATTTGGTTTTGTGAAAGTAGCATAAAAGGAAAAAAAAACTCTATTTCTTAAATTTCCTTGAGTCATTTGCCAAATTAAAAGCATGTTAAGCAATAGAATCTGTAATCATCCTTATATCTGCACATCTATGAAGATATATCCAAACATATAATGTAATATAAAATTATATATGTATACATATTATATATCTATATGTTATATATGCATATTTTATATGCATAATTTCTGGAGCAATAAGGAATATATGTATTATAAGTATTGCTAGATAGATCTATGTAGGTATGTAGGTAGGTAGATAGAGCAATATCTCTCATTGACAAAATATAATTAACGAGATAAATAATAAGGCCCTTTCCTGTCTTAATTACCTCAGCCCATTCTGTGGAACCGAGTAACCCAAATTCTTCAGCATCCCAGCTGGCAAAAATGATAGTTCTCCTAGGTCTCCAGCCTGTAATAATTGTTAATATACATGATTAGGGACACCCATCGAAAAATAGAGGAGTATTAAATAAGTCATATTCTGTCAGTACCTACCAAATAAATATTACTTACCTGCCTGTAGCAGTTTTCCAAAGCTCTGAGCAATTTCCTGCAGTACTGCAGTTCCAGTGGTGGGGTCAATCCCTCCAAATACCCAGGAGTCCCGGTGACCTCCCAGAATAACATACCTATCTGGATAAGGACATGAATATTTGTAATTTATATATTTAACTTAAATATTCCCAGCATGCAATTCTGCCTAGAGAATAACACTGTAATGTCAAATCTTTTACAGCTGTAGATTTCCCTTCTTCCCCACAAATTTATTTTATGTCAATCATTAAAGTGTAATTTGTTTCCTGAAATTAATATTTTTTCATCCTTACTCTTTGTCAAAAGAAAATGTTTTTGAAAAAAATCAATTGACTGACCAGGTTCCAAAGATCCTCTAATTGTTCCAATCACATTGTAAATCCTTGTAATTTTATTGGTATTGTGAACATGCATTCGAACTTTCCTAGAATTTCAGAAGAAATGAATGATTTTATACATGGCATTATATTTACAATTTTCTTCCCATGTTTTGTTAGGAAAATACCAGACCTACAGAAAGTTGTACCTTCAGATTGTTGATTCACCCATGTCTGCATATAAAATCATCTGTTTATACTGTTACAAGGAAGATGAGGGCATCATGACAATTTGCTTCTTATACCTAAGCATTTACCTTAAAGTGAAAACTTTAAAACTATTTTTTAATATTCTGCTCTTCTGATTAATGTATTGCTGATATTTATGTATAATTCTAAATATCGTATTAAAGGTCTTAGGTATTGATTTTTAAACTTTAAATATAGCCTACCTAATTACAAGGAGGACAGTCTTTTCATTCAGTAAAAGACCTAATATATGACAGTGGTCCTTTGAAATGATAAAGGAGCTGAGAAGTTCCTATTGCCTATAATCAAGATGCCATCTTGTCATCTCACAATTATTCATGCATTTTTGGTGATACTAGTGAGTAAACCTGTTGCAGTCATTCATTTGAAAGTGTCACACACAGACACACACACACAAAATCAAAAGCAAATTGAGGTTTAGATCTGAGGATCACGGTTCAATGTCAGTCTAAGCAGAAAGTCCATGAGATTCATCTCCAATTAACTAGCAAAAAGCTGAAAGTGAAGGTATAGCTCAAGCGGTAGAACCCAGCCTTGAACAAAAAGCCAAGGGAGAGCACAAGGCCCTGTGCTCAAGAGCACATACTGTTCTCCATCAAAATTAAGTGTAGCAATGATGTTATGTAGAATACATTATATTGTACTTTTCATTGTTGGTTTAGATAAAAAAATTATACTGCTATTTACTTTTAAAGTCCATTCTAAGACATTATACCATGTTATGAAAATGGTAGTCCCATACATCTTGTATTTATGAGAGCTGTTGATTGTGTTAATAGGAAGTGAACAGCACTGTGTCATTTGTGTAAGCACTTTCTAGCATTCAAATAAGGATGAAATCACCTAATGACACATTGCTCATCTTTGTATGAAGTAAATGCATGGCTGACTGTGTTAGCAATTCTTGCTGCTCAGTAACATTAAGAAACAAAACAATAACAACAAAAACCCAGCCTATGTGCTTCATGTAAGAATAATGATAAACTCTACAGTTAAGTGATAATTAGGGAAATTCTGCTCAAATACAATGCATATGTCCATAATGGACATTTTCCAGGCTGGAATTGTTGATTCTGATCTGGACATTGATTAAATTAATCATTTATGAATGGAATTAACCAAGTTAGAAGACACAAAGGAAAATAAAATCAAGCTTATCTAAACAGAAAAATAACTTGTCACAAGGTCACATGTATTTTATGACTCCAGGATAACAGGGGGAAATATTTAGCCACTTTTTCATAAGAGAATAAAACAAGCCTTTGTTTACTGTGGGGAGAGAGGGATCTAGTTATTTTCATTTATGTTTGTTTTGAATGGAATAACCAACAGGTTTGCAGAGCCTATATAATGTTAAGTGTAACTCCCTTCCTCCTAAAGCACATTCTGTTTCTCAGTACATAAACAACCTTGTGATGGTGAACTGAAAACACATTTAAGAGGAGAGTAATCAGTGCATGAGTTCTTTCCATTTTAGGGCAAGAAGAAAGGAAGGGTGGGAGAATTAAATCATGCTGTTCAATGTTTATAGGTGAAGATGGAACTAGGGAAATTGAGGGGTTCAGTGGGGTTAAGAGAGATAGGGAGAATAATGAAAAGGGGTGACACTGATTAAAATGATCATACTCACAAAGTGGCATGTTGAATTAAAACTCCTGTGCAAATTATGTTATTTTAACATAATTTTTAAAAATACACTATTTACTCTTGTTACTGAGAGAAAAAATAACAGAGAGCTTGGCATGCAGCTTAATGGTGGAACATGTGTGTTTATTAACAGGAGCAAGGCTGTAAGATTAATCTCAGTACAAAAATAATAACAGTAGTAGTAGTAGCAGTAGTAGTTAGTAGTAGTGTAGAAATGTTGTTAAACTCTTAAATGGAAACCTCAACTTTGCTGACACTGTATGCCTAACTTTATTTTTTCTCTTCTTTTTTTATTTTTTATTTGCCAGTCCTGGGACTTGAACCCAAGGTCTGGGAACTGTCCCTGAGCTTCTTTTGCTCAAGGCTAGTACTCTACCATTTTGAGCTACAGAGCCACTTACAACTTTTTCTGAGTCTGTTGTACAGAGGAACTGAACCTAGGGCTTCATGCATGGTAGGCAAGGATTCTACTAAGCCATAGTCCCAGACCTTATTTTTTCTTTATTAATGTGTTTACTTAAGTTTCTACTCTGCTTAGTACAGATTAAGTTATTCTTTGTTGGTAGCAATAATATACTTAGACATGCAGCTTTATATCTTGTCATTTGTAGTCTCTAAATGGAACAATATATTATCAACATCCATGTGAGGTAAGATATACGACAATTTTTTTGATTATTGTTGACTGATTTGTACTCACATGGAAGAAGAACAGGTTTTTGATTATCTAGACCTGGGATTTCTTATGTTTCTGTGTGTCCTCTATAATTGACATTATAGAACAAAGTCCATGCTTTTTCTGTGCTTGTATGATTCTACTCATAATTCAAAACAGTCTTTATGTTTACTTTTGGTGTCACTGAGGCTTGAACTCAGAGCCTTGTGCTAACTTGGATGGCTTGCTCAGTTGGCACTCTACCACTTGAGCTACAACACCAGCCCAGCTTTACGCTGATTATTTTGAAGAGAGACTTTTCAATTTATATGCCTCTTCAGACTGGCCTCTAACCATGAGCTTTTAGATTTAGCCTCTTGATTAGCTAATATTAGAGGAATAAGTCACCAGTTCCTAGAAGCTTTTGTTTATCACAATGAGTTCCTACTTTAAAAGGGTATAAATAAATTAGATAATGGAGTTCTCAACTCTAAGAATCAATGGTTCAATAAGTTATGGAAAATAATTGGCTAAAATTATTTTAATAAAAAGCTGTTTTTATTCTGACCTATCAATGTTAACATCCCACCTGCCACATCAGCATTTCAGACTTCTCAAAATTCTGTCTAATCGATGCTATTCCCCTGTTAGCTACAAGCTGATCCATGAGTTGTCTTCTCCAATGGAAAACTTTTACTCTTTCTATACAACTGTGTTCACTCCTGTACTGCTGTAATAAGTTAAAAACAATAATAAGTATAATGATAGGTCTAATGAGTATTTATAGCTAAGTGTTTTACTTGTTTTAACTAATTAATGCTTAGAAGACACCTTCAATAACTATTAGTTCCTTTTTCTCTTTCTCTTCACCCCTCCCTCCTTTAATTTAACTTGATGCTTCACTCATAATGCATTTTGAAAGTTAGTAGTAAAACAACAGGATATTACAAATCACAAAATTACCTGGAAGTGTCACTGCCTGTAAAGCCAGGCCCAATTTTGTAAACAACATTAAGAGCTCCCTTCCAGCTCTCATCTGGTGAGGCAGGTCCACCCAAGTGGCTTTCAAGAGAAAATAAAAGAAAAATACTGAGCTTGCGTTTCTAAGAAGAAATCATGAAGTTGAAGGTAATATAACACCTTGCTCTGTATGGGCTAAGTCTTTATTGAACAAGTTGTCAAAAATCCCTGCCCTTGTGATGCCCATATTCTAGCAAGAGTCATAAATGAGATGAATACATCATACAATGTGCAGCTGATATGAACTAAAAAGAAAAATGAAAACAATGAGGCAGATGGAAAGTCACAGCTTCCTTGCCTCAGACCTTAGTTATTTATGTGGAGAAAATATCTACAATATAGAACTGACTGCGTTAAGAAGAAATTAATTTGTAAAGATAGTACCGATTACATAGGGATGTCCATCAAGAAATTATTATATTGTTCTGGTGCAGATATTATTATTATTATTATTGTTATTATTATTGGGTCAGTAATGGGGCTTGAACTCTGGGCTTGGGCGCTGTCCCTGTGCCCTTCAACTCAAGGCGAGTGTTCTACCGCTTGATCCACAGCCCACTTCCAGTTTTCTAGTAGTTTATTGGAGATTAGAGTCTCATGGACTTTCCTACCCTGCTGGCTATGAACCGCAATCCTCAGATCTCAGCCTCCTGAGTAGCTAGGATTACAGGCGTGAGCTACCAGAGCCTGGCTTGGTGCAGATATTATTAAAAATGGAAGATGGGAGATAGATTAAGGCATATCAACAATAGCAGCCAAGATGAATTAATTTCCCACAATCTAGATTACATAATAACTCATCAGGAAGAAATACTGACACCTCCATATTATAGATAAAATAAGCCAGAGGCTGATTCAATAATGGTTTAAAATCACCAATTTGGTAAATGGTAGGTAAGATCATATTTTTACATTACAAACTAAGTACAGATATCTAATGGGTAGTCAAGGAATTCCAAAAACTTGAAAAACTCAAATGAATATTTAATTTTTTATCTTTTCAGTTTTGCATTTGAAAAAATTCATTTGCAGCAAAGATAGCAGTGTTTTATTGGTGTTTCTTAGTCACTAAACTAACTTCTCTTATAGAACAAAAACTATGTTCTATTGTATTTACTTCATGACTTATTTTGATATGAGAACTTCTTTTTTATTGGTTGGTTATGGTGCTTGAACTCTGGGCCTGAGCACTGTCCCTCAGCTCTTCAGCTCAAGGCGAGTGCTCTACCACTTAAGCTACAGCACCACTTCCAATATGAGAACTTATTTTTACTGTAGGTGTCTAATACTGGTTTTAGATATCTTAAGGCAAGATATCTTACTATCATACCAACTAAAAAGGTGTACCGTAGCAATATTTCTGCATCAGCATATCCAATAGGATGTACGGGTATTTTGGGGATTCCCACTCCATCTTCAACATTAAGTCTGAAAGTGTAGTCTGTAAAAATCAAATGCATAAATTAAAACAATTTAAGAATATGAAGGAGGGATTTAAGAATTTAAGAATCTGAAGGAATTTCTTGAATTACTATTACATATTTGCTGTGCATTTGAGTGCATCAACACTTTTTTATTTTACTTTTATTGTCAAGGTGATATACAGAGGGGTTACAGTTACATAACTAAGGCAGTGATTACATTTCTTGTCTAATTTGTTACTCCCTCTCATTTTTCTCCTTCTTTCCCTCCTCCCAAAGCCCATCAAAATTTTACGTTCCCCAAAAGTCAAAGATTGTTTTACCCAATATGATTCTTCAGTTCAATAATATTTTTTGTCACCTTTCAACAATATCAGTTACGGAGATTATAGAGTCTCAAATTTGTTTTTATATGCACATAATTCTCCTATATTTTATTTTCTCAAGATATAAGTATGATTCACTGAAAAGGTATTCTAATATTCAGAAGGCACTAAGATACCTTGGAATAAGTATACTTTGTCAAAACTTTGAAAAGGCAATTTTGCCTACTCCAAACATACAAAGAACATACAAAGTACTATTCATCCACACCAGTCCTGGGAATTTATACTATAGAAATTTTCATGTAAGACTTTCATATATACATATATGGAGACACAAATATTCACAATGGAATTATTTTAGTGCTGAACAATTTTTTGTATATATTTTATTGTAAAAATACTGTATAGAGGGGTTACAGTTACATGAGTAAGATAATGAGTACATTTCCTATCGAGCATTGTTACCTCCTCCTTTTTTTTTTTTTTTTTTTGGGTCTGGTCGTGGGGCCTGAACTCTGGGCCTGGGCGCTGTCTCTTGGCTCTTCAGCTCAAGGCTAGCACTCTACCACTTGAGCCACAGAGCCACTTCGGGCTTTTTCTTTTTTCTTATGTGGTGCTGAGGAATCGAACCCAAGGCCTCATGCATGCAAGGCAAGCACTCTACCACTGAGCCACCTTCCCAGCCAATCCTCCTTTGTTTTTTCGCTATCATTTCTTGCCTCCCTAACTTTACAACTTCTCCCTCCCCACCTCGAAAGTGTAAAGTTCGTTTTCAACATAGTATATTGTATATCTCAATGTCACAATGGGTTAACCTGTATCCTTATTTCAGCATTTTGTTATTTTCCTTCCCCTTCCCACATTAGAAAATGTATATACAAGATGCAGAGCATCAGAATCAGGGGTCATACCATGGGGGAGGAAAACATACAAAAGAAACAAAAAAAAATCACATGGTACATTAACATACTTATAGTGATTAGCAAATTTAAGGCAAGCTCCTATCAGCAAACCAAATGGTTGGAAAAATGCATCTCAATTTTTAAAATTAGAAACAAATGGAAAAAATCAAATGGAATTTGGGAAACCTTGATAATTTCAATAAAACAGTATAATGCAATACTCTTTTCAAAGGAAGGTTGAAAAATATTGTCTGTCTTCAAATTTTACTGGGACTTTGTCTTCAGCCAGACTAAAGAAAAAGCAGCAGGTTTTACATTCATGTCTGAAACAATTTTTAAGATGATGAAAGTGTTCTATCATTAAGATTTTTTTCCTATTAAGTATCTTCATAATTGTTAAAACAAAAAGTAAGACAATACAGAAGAAAACTACTACATGTAAAACTAAAATAACACTATCCACTAATTTGATTCAATGAACATTTATAATACTAACAATAGAGTATATATTATTTTCAAATATATATGGAATATGTGTTAGACTATATCCTAAGCCATATAATGTATTCAACAAATGTAAAAAAATCATACAAAGTATATTCTCTGATCACTGTGGAAATAAATTAGAAGTCAATATGAGGAAAATACCTAGAAATATTCAATGTTTGAAAACCCAAATTACACATTTGTAAATAAACACAGGGCCAAAGTATAAAAGAGAAATGATAGAGTATTTGAAATTGAATAGAAATAAAAACACAACATACCAAGTACTGCAAGATGCAACTCAAGCACTATTCAGAAGGCAAATTACCAAACAAAACATTTATCTTAGAAAAAAAGAAAGACTACCAATATCAAAACTGATTTTACCTAAGATAACAAGAAAGGGACAATAAATAAGGGCTAAAATCTGCACAGGAAAAGAGCAAAAGCAAAAGCAAAAATCTAAGGAATATAAAAGAAACAAAAATAACTGACTAAAATTGGAATCCCAAAGCTAGATCTTTAAGACGATCAATAAAACTGAAAAACCTTTAAAAAGATTGGCAAAGAACAAACAAGGAAGAAACTGAATATAGGTAATAGGAGCAAAAGAAAGGGAAAGAGGATGGGAAAGAGAAGAAGAAAATATTATCAACAACTTTATATGGACAAATTTGACAGCTTAAATGACATAGACAAAAATTATTTAAAGACACAAACTACCAAAGTTCATTAAAAATACTTGAACACTTTTATTAAAGGATTGAATTTGTAGTTTTAAAACACCTACAAAGACAATCTCAAACTCATCTGAATTGTGAGGATTTCTACTACCATTTATAGACAAAATAGAATTGCTCTTGATTCAATCAAAAGGTCAGCATTACTCTGGTTCCAAAATGACACAAAAATATAATAAAATTTCACACAGTAACCCCCCAAAAAGCTATTTCTTAAAATCTGAGTCATCTCTTTACCTGATCTATGTAACTGTAGTCCATCTATACCTCATCTTTGTAACAATTGAAAAAAGAAAAAAAATCACCGAGTAATATATAAAATAGCAATATATCCCGACTAAGCAAAGTCTATTCCAGGATGGCAGGGTTGGTTTAAAGTTCAAACAAAAGTCACTAATAATACACAATCACCTTCATATATACAGAAAAAGCATTTGGAAACACTAGCATATACTCCCAGCAGCAATTCAAATCACATTAGGACAGAATTAAATTAACCCTGTGTGACAAAAACAGTCTGGAAAATAACTATAGCTAAAATTATTTAACAGTAAATGATTGTATACTTTCCCCGTTGGAACAGGAATAAGACAAGGATACCCACTCTAGCCAGTTCTGTTCAATTATTGTACTAGAAGTCCTAGCAAGTACAATAAGGTAAGAAAAAGAAATTGTAATAAAAGAATATTGTCCTTCTTTGAATATAGGTTTGTTTCCCATATGTTAAAGCTTCAAATATTACATTTAAAATAATATTAAAACTCATTACCTTCAAAAGTTGAAACATATAATTTAAATAAAGAAGGATAAAATGCCTAAGTTATTTGTATAATCTAGTAAGTCTACATTCTGGTTGTTGAGGGCATTATTTCTTTGAGGATGAAGACTGGTATTTCTAACCCTCTACTCTAATAAATGTCAAATAAAGTTTCATGCATACTCCTCATGAAAATTTAAAATTAAAACAATATGATGCCAAGTGCTAGTGGCTCATGCCTGTAACCCGAGCTACTCAAGAAGCTGAGATCTCAGGATCGAAGTTTGAAGCCACCCCTGGTAGGAAAGTTCATGAGACTTATCTCTTATTATTTACTTCCCTCACCCCTCAGAAGAGAAGTCATGGCTCGAGTGGTAGAGTGCTAGCTTTGAGCAAAAAACCTCAGGGACAACACTCAAGTCCTAAGTTCAAGCTCCAGGACTGGCACAGAAAGTAAAAAAAAAAAATGTAATAAAACACAATGGAATTACTTTGACTTTCTTAATAGTAGTAATTGAAACAATATGTGTACACCACTGCAGTTTTAATGTTACTCTATTGATGCATGTTTTCATCCATCTAAAAGAATATTTCAGAAGTGGTAGACGAACAGATTTGAGCACTACCTTTGGCTGGATAGCCTGGAGTGAGTGGGTCACCGGCACCATTCAAATTCAACACATTTCCTCTCTGTACTGCAGTTCCAGGAAGGTTCCATCCTTTGGGATATGGCTGTACCTCAGGGGCAGAGTAGTCAGCTGGATCTGAGTACAAGATGATTCCTATGGCCCCTGCCAACATGGCATTTTTAACCTGCAGGAATGAAATCCATGATGTAGAAATGACAAATGACTGACTTTCTCATACAAAATTAATTAGATGAGGTAAGAAAATGTAGATATTGGTTTTGAACTTGCCATGAAATATTCATTTTTCTCTCTTTCCTTTGAAAAATAATCTCCTTCTTGGAAGACCTAACAAATGTCAGCTTATCTTAGAAAATCCTAAACAATTTTTCAAAGCTATCATTCCCAAACCTACAAAATTGCTTTCTTCCTCTTGTTTGTATATGTTTGGTATATATTTCCAATATAGGACAGATTATCATGAGTTAAAGTACCTCATAAGCATCTGTCTCTACTATTAAACCACTAGTATTATTGAGAACATTTATCAGCTTATTCTACTATCAAAATTTTGCATACTTACAAATATTTGTTTACTTAAGTTGATTTTCAATTTTGTGCAGAATGGATACAATGTATTTTAAAATTCTTTGTAAATATTTCTCTAATAATCCAAGCTAGCCAAGAATAAGAATATCTATTTTTGCAATAAATTCTTTATTAGCACAAATACTGTAATAAAAGATATGTACATATTAGTGTGATTCACTGAAAAGGTAGTCTAATAATCAGAAGGCATTAACCTATCTCAGAAGTATATTCTCACAACTTTGAAAAGGCAGTTTTGCCTACCACAAATAGCTACAGAACATACATTACAATTCATCCATATCAGTCCTAGGAGTTTATACTACAGAACTTTTCATAAGAGTCTTCGATCAATAAGTAGATATATAAAGTATATAGACAGAAGTATTCACAATGGAACAAATTTAGGGCTAACAAATTTAAGTAACACATTCGTCAATGGGAGGTATAAATAATTTTTGATCATTTCTATAATAGATGTCACCATTTAAATAAGTATTTCATAAGTAGTTATACAGAAATCGCCATGGTAGCTGCAAGCTCTAAATGTGTCTAACATAAACTCATTTCTACTAAGGACTTCTATGAGGCTGAGGCTGGTGCTATTGTCAGCATTCCCACTACATATATATATATATATATATATATATATATATATATATATATGAAAAATTTAGCATAGAAAGGTTAAGTAACTTGCTTACAGTGAAGAATCTAGAGAACAAAGGCTCAGGCCTGGCCAGAACCAGAATCTCATGTACTTTATTCTCATGTACATTATACAATTCTTAGTGTGCTGAGGTGGGCGTATGCTCATAAGCTGTAGCTAACTGAAAACATGAAGTTACATGCACAGTGTATCATAGCCTCTTAGTAAAAAAAATGTGCATATTTCTTGTCAGTGTGTGTTGTGCATGTAAAGCAAGTATATACAAATAGGTTTGTATGTTGATAAATGAGGTTGAGGAAGAGCTATTAAGGTTAAATTTCTAAGCAATAAAGTTGAATAATTCAGAAAAGATTTCCTTTAATTTAATTATATAAATTTCCTTCATTTAAACGTTAAAAGGAAAACATTAGTTTTGCAATAAAAATAAATTACAGCCAAGTACCAGTGCTCACACCTGCAATCCTAGCTAGTCAGGAGCATGAGATCCAGAGGATCACAGTTCAAAGCAAGCTGGGGCATAAAAGTTCATGAGACTCCATCTCCACATAGCTAACAAAAAGCAGACCAGAGGTGTAGCTCAAGTGGTAGAGCACCATCCATTAGTAAGCAAGTCCATCATGGGTGAGACCCTGAGTTTAAATCCTCATACCACCAAGAAAATTTAAAATAATTTTATTTTCTAGATACATGAGGTATGAAACACAAAGTTCTGTGCACTCATGACAAATACCAAAAAAAAATTCAAGCAGTTTTGGAAACTGTGAAGCAAGTAGATCAGTTACATTTACATTTATACATCTATCTTCACCCTTTCCCTTTAGACATGCAATGCCATACTTTATTTCCTCTGAAGATTTTCCCATATCTTGCAATAACAATCTTCCCAGTGCAGTTGATACTCATTTCTCTTTCTAGTTTGAAAAAATCTTCAGTGCGAGCATAATTCACATACACAAGCTCTCCCTATAGAGAAAGGGAAAAGATATAGAATATAGCTAAGATAAAGAGAATAACAAATATGTTCATTGGGTTGAGAGGGATGGGAGAGAATAATGAAAAAGGTGCTATCAGTCATGATGCATTGTACTTATAAACTGATTTGTTGAATGGTAAACCCTTTGTACAACTACTAAAACATAATAAAATACAATTTAAAAATGTTTGTTTCACAAAACTGCACCAGCCATCCTTTTTCCTTATTTGGGATTCATTAACAGAGATATGGAATGTTGTAGAAGGCTTTTCAAAACCTTTCAAAATCAATGAATGTACTTAAACAGGGAATATATAATACATTCTTATAGTATGTTTAGAGAAATTATCAACATATACTGAAGCATAGGAACATTAGCAAATATCATTTTAAAAGTTTCATTAAGCTGGGAGCTGGTGGCTCATGCCTGTAGCTATTCAGGAGGCTGAGATCTGAGGATCACAATTTGAAGCCAGCCCAGGTAAGAAAGTCCATGAGACTCTTATCTGCAATTAGCTACCCAAAAAAGTAGAAAGTTGAGTGGTGGCTCAAATGGTAGAGTGCTAGCCCAGGCCCAAAGTGCTACAGGACTGATGTATGTGTGCATGTACATGCGCTCATGCACACACACACATACACATGCCATTACAAATAAATCAACTATATTTCATTTCCCACCATGATGTTAGTTGAAGAATTTTTGTGATATAACCTACTAAAACACATCTCTAAATTTATTTTTTAAAAAAACCTCAGATTACAAATAATGAAAAGAAGCTTAAAGTACATCTATAGTCCTTACTGAGTCAAAGGATGATTGTTTTGCTTTTTTTTTTTTTTTTACTTTCAGAATGTTAGGAACTCTGTTTTCAGTGTATTTATCTACTTTTTTTGTAGTGATCTATTTAAAAGAAATAGTTTTTACTTTGCAAAAGTGTTCACAGTATGGATATCAAACAATGGATGAGTACATTTAAGCTCCAAGTAAAACTCTTTGGTTTAATTCCTCTACATAGTGTTTTATGCAACAAAGAAAGATTTGCAGATAATTAAACAGTGTTTTTTTTTAAATTTTACCTCTGGCATGCCTTGGGGTGAGAAAGCGCTATATGGTGGCACAATATTTGTAATGTTCTCATATCCATCTGGAGGTGGTTCAAGGTATGATGTTTTGAAAATCTAGCAAGAATTGAAATCAAGTTAGAGAAAAACATTCCAACTTGTTATTAAGGTGTAACTCATCTTGCCCCAAGATTAAACATAACACTAAGATGAAATATACTGGAACTAGGAACTAAAATTGACTAGGTAAATCCCAGTGAAACAAATGAAATCATGATTATTATCTTAAAAAATAACATGGATTATTGTAAGTATACCACTTTAGGTAACTAAAGTCCATTATAAAATGTAAAAATGGGGCTGGGAAGGTGGCTCAGTGGTAGAGCGCTTGCCTTGCATGCTCGAGGCCCTAGGTTCGATTCCTCAGCACCACATAAGCCAAAAGAAAAAAGCCGGAAGTGGTGCTGTGGCTCAAGTGGTAGAGCCCTAGCCTTGAGCGGAAGAGCTGAGGGACAGCCCCCAGGCCCAGAGTTCAGGCCCCACGACCAGACCTAAAATAAATAAATAAATAAATAAAATGTAAAAATGGAACTGGGCATGAGAGCACATGCCTGTAATCCCAGTACTTGTAAAGCAGATGATCACAAGAGAAGAATTACAAATTTCAAGTTAGTGTGACCTGGAGAGTGAGACAAAACAAGAAATGAGAAAACAGGGAATTAAGGGAGGCATTCTTAGGCTGAGGATGTAGGTCAGTGCTATAGAGCATACCTAGTATATATACAGCCCTTGGTTCGATCTTCAGCACTACAAATAAACAAACATGGAGCCTTTGTGGTTTCCTTGACTATGGCTTCTAAACTTTCTTTTTCAGTATTTTCCCATTTTTTTTATTCTTGGCTTATACTTGGCTTTAGATATCTCCTCCAGGTGAGACTTCATTGACTATCAAAATTTTGCAAATATCTAATAGGCTTTTGATGTCTAACATTTCACACTCATATATTTAAGAGCCTGATAAGTACTTAGTTTTGATGTTCAAACTCAACATACTAAAGCTGCTTTTTAAAATCTCTTATCACCCTTAGATCAGCATCTGATTCTGCACACTTGTCTGTATAACAGCCTCAGAGTGTCTCTTGAAACATTTTTCTTTTTTTTGGGCCCAGTCGTGGGGCCTGAACTCTGGGCCTGGGCGCTGTTCCTCAGCTCTTCAGCTCAAGGCTAGTGCTCTACCACTTGAGCCACAGAGCCACTTCTGGCTTTTTTCTTTTTGCTTATGTGGTACTGAGGAATCGAACCCAGGGCCTCATGCATGCAAAGCAAGTGCTCTACCACTGAGTCACCTTTCTAGCCCTCTTGAAACATTTTTACTTCACTCTGATCTCTTTCTTCTTATAGTCCATCTTGCTAATATACTTCCTGCTTCCCAAATTCATCCTTCATCCTTCTCCCTGATAACATTTTAATTTAGGACTTCAGCTATCACTTGAACTTTTGTCTTCAGAAAAAAACTTAAATTTCTTGCCTAGTCTAGGTATAATCTACAGACTTTCCATGCATAACACTGAAGTGCTTTTCTAGTCACATGCTTCCTGGGCTTAGGACTTTTCATCAGGTCCTTACACCTGAAATTATGGTCTAAGCTACTCATCTCCAGTACATAGCAACTGGTTTATTCCTCAACAAAGCCCAGTTTGTATTCTATATTATTGAAATACAAAAATTCTTAATTTTCCCCAATAATACTAAATGATTATGTCTTCATACCTTTGCCAGTATTTTCTTGTTTATATTTCTCTTACCTTGCTTTGTTTTTTCACATTGTTATTCCCTTAAGCTCTTTATTTTTGTTTGTGTGTATTTTTTATTGTAAAAATACTGTATAGAGGGGTTACAGTTACATAAGTAAGGCAATGAGTACATTTCCTATCAAGCATTGTTACCTCCTCTTTTGTTTTTCCCTTACCATCGATCGGTTCCTTCCCTACCACCCCAACTCCTCGCTCCCCTTTCCGAAGTTGTAAAGTTTGTTTTTAACACAGTGTCTTGTACATCTCACTGTTACAATGGTTCAACCTATATCCCTATTTCAGCATTTTGTTATTTCCCTTTCCTTCCCAAATCAGAAAAATGTATATACAAGATGCAGGGCACCAGAATCTAATACAGTGAAAACAGTGAAAAACCATGGGTGAGGGACATACAAAAGAAACAAAAAAAAATCACATGGTACATTATAAATACATTAAAAACAACAGCATCCCTTAAGCTCTCTTTGGAAGATTTCCCTACTGGGCTCTCCAAAAGGGCTTAATTACCCATTTTTCTGTTGATATAGAGCCTCAGTTATTTTCTTCATATCATTTACTCTACTTATTTAAGATGATGTATCCAATTCTCCTCATCACCTTGCTTGGGCAAAGGATCTGTGTCCCAATCTTCATGCTGACCCAAAGACCTACCACCAGGCCTAACACATAGTAAGCACTAAATAACTTACAACTAACTTCATTAAAGGTATAAGTTCTATTACACTAGTAACAATTTTCTCTTTTTACTTTTTGCTTCATTTTAATCCAAAAGTGGGGGATTATAAAATATAGAAAGGCACCAACAATTGTACATCACCTCAGTTCCACGTTTATCCACAATTGATATATAATTAGCATTTGTTTCATTGGGATAAGAAAGAAGAACATCATAATGAACCAAATTGGCTGAATCCAGTCCAAATCTCTTCCATTGCATCTGGATTTCCTTGGCAAGAAGTAAATTTTGTTTTGTTCCTGCCAGATGTGGAAGTTTTGTAAAAGAACTGAAAAACAGAAAAAAAAAACAAGTATGAATGAAAGAATACATTCAATTATTATCTAAGAATTACTCTAGATAAACTATCCTTAGCCATGATCAATTCTATATAAAAATGCTATGAAAATTGTATATAAAAAGCTATAAAAATCCAATTAGACATATTGATTACTATTTTTCCTTCCTTCCTTCCTTCCTTTCGTCTCCTTCTCTCCTTTCCTTCCTTCCTTCCTCTCCTCCTTTTCCCTCTTGTCCCAGCTCTTTCTTTCTGCAGTGCTAAACACTGAATTCAGTGCCCAGCATAACACATATAACCAAAATTATTATTTGTGCTGATTTTAAATTAAGTATGTACAGCTAAAGTTTTCATATTATGCTCTTTCAAAAAAGTACACATTCCATGGTAAACATAATTTTCAAAGGACCCTGGAAAAAGTCTCACCAGTGATATACCTTCTTAGTGCTTATCAGTAAATGGAGGATATTTAAGGAAGGGAGATGTTAATGTTTGCCAGAAAACAGTAACGTGCTTCTATGTTTGGCTTAAATACGTTTATTTTCTTGCTTCCAGTATTGGGGCTCAGTGCCTCAAGCTCTCAGCTAGCTTGCTTGCTTGTGCACACCTGATGATCTACAACTTGAACCACACCTCAAGTCTAGCATTTTGCTGGTTAATTGGAGATAAGGTCTTGCTAATTCTTCTGTTCAGCCTGATTTCAAACTTCAACTCTCCAGGTCTCATCCTCCTGCATAGCTAGGGTTATAGGCATGACTCACCAGCACCTGGCATTTGGCTTAATTATTTTAATCACTGACTTTATTGTGTATGTAGTTGTTCTTTTATCTTGTTCAAATTAAAGTCTGTGCATTTTTATTTTTACATTATACATAGCTTAGCTCTTGTCTATTACTCAGACAATATAGATTTGTTGAACAGAAGTTGGCTAATGCTTTCTTGTTTGGTGTAACTGAGTTATAGCATTTAAGTGACTTCATAGATATTTCTTAGAGATATTGATTTTCCTTTGGGTACACAATACATTGAAACGATTTCCTACCTGTGACAGTAGAACATTAACAAATACTTTTGTAAATTGGTTTTCAAATTATCCAGAAGACTGGTTTTGGTTAAACCTACATGACAGTAAAGGTGAACTGACATTTATTAAAATCGTATTGTATACTGAGCACCCTGATGCCACTTTCATATGTGTTGCCTCATTCAATCTCATAAGCCTTTCCATATTCTGCAAACTCAAAAACTGAGAAAGGAGTAGAAAAACTTAGTCTTGAAGTACAGTGATATTTCTTGACAATTCGTCTGGTCTTATTTTCTAGTTACTCAAAATGCTTATAAGTTCATACTCAGCCAGGCATGATGCTGCCCATAAATTCTAAGTATTTGAGAGGCAGAGGAAGGAGGAACTGATGTTTGTGGTCAGGTGTATAAAGGTAATAGTGAGACCCTGTTTCAAAAATAAAACACCAACGAAAGTAAAGACTGAGGGTGTAGCCCAACTAGTAAAGGGCTTGTATAACATGGACAAGTCTCTGGTTTCAGTCCCCAGAACTGCAACACATGAATGAATAAGAAAACAGATAAAAGATAGATGTATGGATGATGTACAATAGATGGATGGATAAATAGATAGATGAAAGATAAATAGATTTCATACTCCAACAGATCATATAAAGCCCTCTTATGTCTGGTCCATCTTTCCACTTTTTCAGCTTCATTTTCTACTGCTCTCCTGATAAATTGCTCTGCTCTATTTTATTGTTTTATTTTTATTCTCTTCTTGAAAGAATTATGCCATTCCCCCAAGAACTTGAAGCCTTTGCACAAAGCCTTCTTTCACACAGAAACATCGCCTCATCAACTTGAGTTTCCTTCACTTTTCCCCACCTGTAAACTATGAATAAACCAAAGACACTTTTCAGCTATCACCTTCTCTGTGTAGTTTTCTTTCTCAGTAACATTTAGTGAAAGCAGCAGGTTTCAGAGATTTTCTATCTTCCATATTTGTTTGTTTGCCAGTCCTGGGGCTTGAACTCAGGGTTGGGCACTGTCTTTGGGCTTCTTTTGCTCAAGGCTAGCATGCTGCCACTTGAGCCACAGTGCCACATCCAGCTTTTTCTGTGTATGTGATACCGAGGAATCGAACCCAAGGCTTCATGCATGCTAGGCAAGCACTCTTTCACTATCCACCTTCTCAGCCCTCTTCCATATATGTTTAAAAATATTCAAATGGATTTGACAGAGTCATTTTATATCCACAGAAGAAAATAGACTGAAGCTGGGATATTTAATTTCTACTTAATATAACTAATTATTGATGTTTTTCTTAAATGGACAGCCAATCTTCTTATAATTAAGGAAAATACATTTCTTTAAATGAAGATGGGGATTTAACAATGAACTTTTGTTCCCTTGCTTCTTGTTTTCCAAAGAACTCACTACAATAAAAATAGGAGTGGCAGGAAAGAGAAAGAGCAGCAGAGGGCACCTGCCTTCACATCTGAGTTTCTTTTTGTGATCCAAGATATGCATCACCTATTAACTTGGCTAATGTTCAGGAGAAAAAAGTACAAACAAGAAGATCTATTCTTCTTGCATATATCTCTATTAACTGTGGAAAGCATTCAGAATTTGTCTCCCATTTCACTGGGAATAAAAGGTTGTACATTCCTTACTAAACCAATCATTACCAGGATTCTTTTGTACCTTGGTTGAAAGGGTAGTTTGTTTAGTATGTTTGCTTAGTTTATTAAGTTTGTTTATTGTTTGTTTACACTGCTATAAAAACTTTCAAATCGTACATTTTACAGAAATGATGCCTATCTTATATAAATTACACATCAATAAAGCTGGAGGAGTGTTGTTTTTCCCTTATTTGTTTCTTTTTTATTGGCACTGCACTTGTTCTGCTTTGCTTGCTTAGCTGGCATCATTTCACTTGAGTTGTGCTTCCAGCCTGACTCTGTTGGTTATGTAAGTAGTGTAATTTACTAAAATGTTTATTATATTTTAGAGTGTATACATTCCACTTGTACAGCAGTTGAGTTATGAAAGTGACACCTTTCTCAGAGCATCTGCAGACAGAAATAAATGTGAAAGTGACTACTTTCAAATGCAATCATGCATGGAATACCATATACTCTATGTGAAAAATGACCTATGTAACTTGTGGGCAGAGATGGGAAGGGAAGGGCAAACTAGGGTAAAGTTAAGGAAGGGTTGACTGTCCAAAAAAAAAAAAAGAAATGTAGTCATTATCTGTCTTATGAAATGGGAACCCCTCTGTACAACATCTCAATAAAATTAAAATTTAAAAAGTTCAGAAATGATGCCAGGCAGACACTGGTGACTCTTATCTGTGTGTATTCCTAGCTTTTCAAGGATCCGAGGATTGTGATTTCAAGCATCATAGGAAGCAGCAATACGTAAGCAAGTGAGACCTCAAGATTGTGAGTTTAAGCCCCACGCTGCCAAACTCCTTCCAACCCTCAAGTGAGAACAGAAGATTGTGCCAACTCCCTCCCCCTGCCCCCCAAAGAGTTTAAAAATATTTCCCTTGAATAAGATTCTTTTTCAATCTTGGCAGCAGGAGACTTTGTACTGACTATTTTTGCTTTCATTCCACCCCAAATAAGCAACAAAATTATATTTGCAAGAGAAGAGAATATTTAACTAGGGGCAAAAATCTGGAACATTAATCTCCTTTCCACTAACTAAGTCTGCAACTTTCCAGCACTTTCTAACACAATGCAGTATATTAAAAAAAGAGGAAGAAAGAAAAAGGAAACAAACATATTCCTGAGTAAATCCAAACTGTTAAGTGCATGGCTGATGAACAAAGAAGAGCACTGAGTTGCAGCACCAGATTACATGAAGTGGAAACATCTCACAATAAACCAAACAGATGAAGTTTTAGGGAGGAATTTCCAAAGTCTGTAACAGGCTACCATTTCAAAGTAGTCTGAAGAAACATTTAAAATGACCACAAATTAATGACTAGCATAATTTCACACAAAGAAGACTGACCAAATGGATAGAAACAGTTTTTATATATTTGACTGTACTGTATTTTAAACACTATTAAAAAAATAATCCAGCCAGAAACCAATGGCTCATTCCTGAGGCTGGAATCTGAGAATTGAGGTTCAAGCCTGCCCAAGCAGGAAAGACTGTGAGACTCTTATCTCTAAATAACCACCAGAAAACTGGATGGTTCTATGTGTCAAAGTGCTAGAGCACTAGCCTTGAGCAAAAGGAGCTCAGGGACAGTGCCCAGGCCCTGAGTTCAAGACCCCAAAACCAACATATACAAAAATTCAAACTTACCGAAGGAATGCTTTAATGTTTTGGGCTTTCATTTCTGATAACAGTTTCCATTTTGTACTTTGATGATAGCGTGCTGAAGCAGTTGTTTTTTTGACAGGTTTAGTAAACCAGCCTGAGGGAAAAATAAACATACACACACACACACACACACACACACACACACACACACACACAATTGCTTTAGACACTGATAAATAAATGTAGACTGGAAAGAAAAAGAAAAGAAAAAGACTGTAGTAAACAAATTCAGTCTAATGTAGAAATCTTTTAAATTCCAGTGTGTGACAACAGACTACTTGAGAGATGCACTTTCATTTGTTATATATTATGTATCTGCAGCAAAGCTTTTGTTCTCCTTCCCTGAGGTTTAAGGCAACCTTTTTTTTTTTTAATTTTTGCTTTTGCTTTTTTTTTTTTTTTTTTTTGTGGGTCATAGGGCCTGAACTCTGGGCCTGGGCACTGTCCCTCAGCAATTCAGCTCAAGGATAGTGCTCTACCACTTGAGCAATAGAGCCACTTTCAGCTTTTTCTGCTTATGTGGTTCTGAGGAATCCAATCCAGGGCCTCATGCACAGGAGGCAAGCCTCTACCACTGAGCCACCTTCCCAGCCCCTGCTTTTGCTTTTGTTTTGACAGAGCTTCACCATAGGCCCCAGGCTGATGTGGAACTCATGATTTTCCTGACTATTGTCGTGAGTCCTAGGCTGACAGGCGTGCACTATCATACTCAGCTCAAAAACACTTATTTAGATTACAGTACTGTCTATATTTGTTGATAATTGGTTTCTTCTTTTGTTTTGTTGTAAGGGAGAGTGTTGCTGATTGGACAAAGCTAGCCTGGGTCACTATGTGACAATGTGACCAGGCTATGAACTCATGAACTGCCCTTCTCAACCCTGATCAACCAGACACAGCTAGCTGACAGTTTTGAACAATTAACATTACATGGAAAAATTACCTGTTTCACCCTTTGTGGCAAGCCCTATATTGTGTTCCATCAGTCTCTAATAGTTGACTACACTCAAAATAATATTTAGTAAGTTTGAATTTTGCTCACAATGCATTCCATTTGTTTCTACTTGGGCTGAAATTCACAGTGGAAATTAAGCTAGTCTTGGAACCAGAATACCCTGCTCCCCCTTCAGCTTCAGGCTTTGTTTCCTAGCCGGGAAGACAGAGGCTGTTGGATCCCGGGAAGGCTTTCTGCTCACTTACCCACTGTAAAGCCCGCCAGAAAAAATGCCAGCGCTGCAGTCAAGCACATCCAAAGGTACAGCCGGCCCCTGGACTTCGCCATGGCTTCCTGGGCTCTGAGGTTGGAGTGCAGAATGAGGTTGCAAGCCTCTGGGCTGCAGAGGAGCAGAGAAAGTGGGTGATGATCTTATAGATGGCCACGGATTTGGACCGCCCAGGACCTTTGCAACGTCCGGCCCTCGCCCCTTCCCCCTCCTCGAGGTCCAGGGCCTGAAGAAAACAAGTGAGGGGAGAGAAAGAAAGCTCTTCAGAGCCAGGAACTGCTTACTTCCTTTTGGCAAGCGACTTCTTTTCTGTGAATCTTGCGGCTTTGGAGCAAAGTTGGCTACAGAGCTGCTGCAAATGTTCCCAGCTGTTTCTAAACAATTCTATCATCTACTGCTACTTCCTTGTTACACCATTATTGAAATTTGGCTGCAGGATTAAATTATTTTCCTTCTCTGTGGGTTAGTTTGCTGGCAGAGTTGTGCCAATTTCTAAATGGTCAGATTTGGGGCGGGGGGTAAAGGGCGTGTAGTTCCCTGGCTACTCCACTGTCATCTCAAGGAAACAGCAAAACAGATAGGGTAGAGTCCCTTGGTTACCCTGAAGAGAACAGACTGGAACCTACTCTGGGTTATTTACTATGGGATGTATGACTTTAAAGGCCGCACAAACCTTTGACTCACTCCATTTTATGAAGCAATAGCTTTGACTTAAGTTACTCCATTTTGAGTATGAATGTCCAAAGAGAATAATTCTACATTTTATTTATGCAAGTAAATAACTAACTACCAACTGGACAGGCTAATAAATAATTTAATTATACAAATAAAATACCATAATCTATACAATTACTAAATGAAATTTAGAACATCTACTGCATTGTTGATGGGAGTGTAAACTTGTTCAACCACTTTGAAAAGGAGTATGGAGGTTCTTCAAAAGACTCCACATAGAACTCCGCTATGACCCAGCAATCTCACTTTTGGGCATTTACCCAAATGATCACAAACAAGGTCGTACTAAGGCTACCAGTTCATTGCAGCATTATTTACCATAGCTAAGGTATGGAACCAACCCAGATGCCCCTCAGTAGATGAATGGATCAAAAAAATGTGGTATATACACATAATGGAATTCTATGCCTCCACCAGAAAGAATGGCATTGCCCCATTTGTTAGGAAATGGAAAGACTTGGAAGAAATTATATTAAGTGAAGTAAGCCAGGCCCAAAGAAACATAGGTCCCATGGTTTCCCTTATTTGCAATAACTAGAATATATCTGAGACAAGCAGAAAGGGTCAGATAAGATGATGTTAGGTGAAATTAAGGTAAGGTAAGGCAAGGATTCAAATGGTTTTTCTTTCTTGCAATTGTTGCTAGCATATTTGTAAGATGATTTCTTTGTTGCTTTGTATGTCCCTCCCCCACAGTATAACCCCTGCTTTCACTGTATTTGATGTTGGTATAATTTGTGGAGGGGAAGGGCAAAAACAAACCATTTAAATAGGGATACAGGTGGACCTATTGCAACAATGAGATGTACAAGATGTTATGTCGAAAAACGAAGTTTACAACTCTGGTGCAGGGGGAGGAGGGAGATGGGAGGGATGGAAAGGGATGGGAAGGGGAAACAAAGGAGGAGGCTACAATGTTTGATAAGAAATGTACTCATTATCTTGCCCATGTAATTGTAACCCCTCTGTATGGTATTCTCACAATTAAAAAAAAAGAAATTTAGAACACATGGACCCATGTCAAGCCTGCAATAGGAACTCCAGGCCCATGAGCTAATCAAACACATGAGACCCAGTGATTTGTATGACTTCATCACCTGCATCATCTGAAAAGATAGGCTATGTTCTTAGCCCTGGGAAATAGCAATGCAAGTTGATTATCTGGAGACAAACTACCAACTTTGATTTTGGGATTTCTGCTCAGCTTCACCCTTTACTTGAAGTGACCTACTCAATTGCCTGGAAATCACCTCCATGAATGAACCTAATTCTTTGAAAAAAAAATTTTAATTGTGAGAATACCATACAGAGGGGTTACAATTACATGGGCAAAGTAATGAGTACATTTCTTATCAAGCATTGTTGCCTCCTCCTTTGTTTCCCCTTCCCATCTCCTCCCTTTGCTGCCTCCCCCGAGAAGTTGTGAAGTTCATTTTTGACATAACATCTTGTACATCTCATTGTTGCAATGAGTCCACCTGTATCCCTATTTAAGCAATTTGTTTTTGCCCTTCCCCTCCACAAATTATACCAACATCAAATACAGTGGAAACAGGGGTTATATCATGGGGGAGGGACGTACAAAGCAACAAAGAAATATCTTATAAATATGTCAGAAACAATTCTGTGCTATGCACAGTGAACCATGACTCATTGCATCTCAGAGCAACTCCACATTTTGACAAAGTCATCAGTTTGGTGGCTCAGTTCCCTACTAGTGTCTTATCTGACCAACTTCAATACTTATTGCATCTTTATCTGCTCTTGTCTGAGGGCAAGATGTACAAAATTGTGTTCTGTTCCTTGTAATCAGAAGTCCTATGTCCACACATTTTATAAAAAGTGAAAACATGGGCTATACTGTGGGGGAAGAACATACAAGAGAAACAAAAAAATCACATAGTACATTTTAGATACATTAAAAACAATAGCAAGGGGCTGGGAAGGTGGCTCAGTGGTAGAGTGCTTGCCTTGCATGCATGAGGCCTTGGCTTCAATTCCTCAGCATCACATAAGCAAAAAGAAAAAAAGCTAGAAGTGGCACTGTGGCTCAAGTGGTAGAGCACTAGCCTTGAGCTGAAGAGCTGAGGGACAGCTCAGGCCCAGTGTTCAGGCCCCACGACCGGACCCCAAAAAAAAATTAAAACAATAGCAAGAAAGAAAAAAAACAAGTTGTATCCCTATCTTGAGGTTCGTTTCACTTAACATTATCTTATATGGTTATATATACATAGCTTTTTTTACCTTTTCTGCACTGTATTTGATGTCGGTGCCCTGCATCTTGTATATACATTTTTCTAATTTGGGGAGGGGAAGGGAAATAACAAAATGCTGAAACAAGGATACTAGTTGATGTATTGTAACAATGAGATGTACAAGACACTATGTTGAAAATGAACTTTACTATTTGAGGTGGGAGGAGGGGGGAGGATTCTAGTAGAGGTGGGAGGGAAGGGATGGTAGGGGAAAAACAAAGGAGGAGGTAACAATGCTCCCTAGGAAATGTACTCATTACCTCACTCATGTAACTGTAACCCCTCTGTACACTATTTTTACAATAAAAAACTTCCAGGAATAAGGGGGAAACAATAAAAAAAGAAAAAAGGGAAATTTTAGCAATTAACAATTGACTTCTCCCATACAAACCAATTTTGTTGCCAAAGCAGAATTCCTGAATCCTTTGAATGCTTTATTCATACTCCTGTAATCTAATTATTATTGTGTACTTTGTGATCTGAGTGATATTAGCTTTGGAAATTGGAATACGGAGTGTTGCCAAAAATGTTACAAAGTAACTCACAGAAAAGGAAAAGAATCTAATCCTTGGAGCCAAATTTCAGTAATTCTTGAAAGGAGTGTCAACTAACAATTTACTTCGCCCATACAAACCAAACCTAAGAAGTGTTTGCCAAATTAATGCCAATGGAATTTTGGATTTATTGCTATTCAATAAATGTTAGCATTATGGAAAGTCAAAAGCCTTTCTGACATAGTTTATTTTGACATCCCCATAACCTGAACTAGTGATCAAATTATTACAGTTCTGTTTCCACTCTTTTACTTGATTTTTCTACATACCTCACTCAATTGCTGTAGATTCAAATAGATCAAATTAACTACTAGAAAGACTACTATTACAACACTACAAGCACTAGTAAGACTATATTACTAATAGCGTCCGTGTCTTGTTTTGTTTTGTTTTTGTGCCATTATTGGGGCTCAAACTCAGGGCTTTGAGTTCTGGCATAATTTTTTTCCCCTCAAGGTTGGTGCGCTACCAGTTGAGCCATATCCCTCTCTATTTCCTGATGATAGGTTCTTAAGGAAAGTAATCTCCTTATCCTCTATTCTTACAGTGCGTTTCTTTTTAAAGGTGGTTAGGCTTACAAAATAGTGTTCCCTGTAAATAGAATTCCTACATTCTCCCATGTTAGAAGAAAACGTTAGCAGTTAACAATTGACTTCTCCCATATAAACTCAAAGATTTGCAGCTGAAGCAGAATTACTGAGTGAACTTTGAATCAGAGTTACCACCTTTTAGGTTTTGACCAGCCTTTCCTGCATAGTCTGGGGTCTTGATGGCCTGAGGTAGGGCACCCTTGCTTCTAATGTTACTAATGTATTTCTCTGAATGTAATTATCGATGGATACACTTAATAGTTTTCCTCCTAGAAAATGCATAGAATCTCTGAAAGTTAACTTTGAAACAAATATAATTATTGGAGACCAACTCCTTTTTGCTCTGGCTTTTGGAGATTTGAGAATTCTTTTTTTCCCCAGGCTTGCCTGGACTACAATCTTCTCCTTCTCCACTTCAAAAATAGGATTGCAGCCAGGTGCTGGTGGTTTACGCCTGTCATCCTAGCTACTCAGGAGGCTGAGATCTGAGGATCAAGGTTCAAAGCCAGAGATTCTTATTGGAGATTCTTATCTCCAATAAACCACTAGAAAACCGGAAGTGGCGCTGTGGCTCAAGCGGTAGAGCTCTCGCCTCGAGCTGAGGGACAGCGCCCAGGCCCAGAGTTCAAGCCCCACGGCCAAAAAAAAAAAAAAAAAAAGATTGCAAAGGTAAGGAACCTGCATCATCCTGAAACTAATGAGAGTTTTTTTTTTTTTTTAATGTTCCTTGGGTTTGAATTCAAGACATGGGCATTGTCCCTGGCCATTTTTGCACAAGGTGAACACTTGAGCCACAGATTCACTTTCAGCTTTTTGGGTGGTTAATTGGGAAAGAGAGTTTCACAGACTTTCCTTCCTAGCCTGGCTTCAATCCAAGATCCTCAGATCACAACCTCTTGACTATGGAGGATTAAGGCATGAAACAACGAATTTTTAAATGTTTAAGCATCATTAAATATTATTCAACTAAAGTTTTTTTTTGGGGGGGGGCTGGGGATGGATCTTGTACCTCTCAATGCTTTGTATTTCCAAAATATGTTCCCCCACAGACACTTAGCAAATTAGTAAATTAAGATTCAAATGTTGAGAAGGTGATATAATCATTGAGAAAGCCATACTCCTTGAACATAGTTTAAGAAACACTTCTAATTCTAGAACAAAAAGAATTATCTATTCTTGGTATTAATAAAAGTTATACAGATGTTACTTTAACATTTGAGACAAGTATGCTCCATACACAAATAATACCAAATGTTATTTACATTGTATATAAATATGTTAAGAATTCATTATGTGATTTTCTAATTTCTAG